ATATCGATTAAATTCTATTATGACTGAGTTGAATTTTATAGATGACTTCCTAATTTAAAAAAATAAAAAATAATTTGCTTGCCTTTCAAAAAAATATAAATATTGAATATTATAAAAAACAACGAGCTGCGTGAGCTCACCCCACTTCACCTCTGCGATGTGACTTAAATCATGGCGTGAATCGCTACATTACGAATAAGAAAGCTACGGGATACAATATTAAGACATTAAATCATATAAATGCTATCGATGTGCTTACGTTACGTTATTCATACAATGTATAGACATTCTGACATAAACGGACCCTATACAAATTTACAACATCATCATACTTCATCACAGGTTGTACCTCAGTTTAACCCAAATCAAATGTCTGATCAAACTTGTTGTTAAGCTTAATAGTGTTGGTTGAAAAAAACACAGAAGTACGGGGTCTTTAATATTCAATTTTATGAAATTTTATGTCAAGATAGTACACGGTTGATGTAACCAAGGAGATGATGGATTCAAATAATCCCACATCGGTTAGCTACGCGTCTCTATTGAGATGGGAGTGGTATAAAAGCAGGAGTGGTGCTGATAGAAAACTCATACCTTTCTCGGCCTTTTGGCTAAGATCAAGTGTAGTATCTGTTCTTATCAGTTTAATATCTGATACGTGGGTCATCGACCCACTATGATATTAAATTAATTTCTTTTTGGGGGAGGGTCCATTACAGTGGCTTGCCTCTGGGTCCCTCGCACGTCGCCCGTGCGTTGCACTGCTGCATGGGCCAGGCGTACCCCGACCAAGTCATATGTCCAAACGTTTCTACTGCAGCTGCGATGACCTTTATGGTAAAGCTTAGTCTATTAACACTGCTTTATGATAAATGCCTTTTCGTTCATCCAGAGCTAAGATATAAGCCTATTAACACTGTAATTTCGTTTACGAAAGCACCATTCTTGTTCTCTTCTCGTCACTAAATAAATATTGTGTTTTGTCTATACTTGCGTTGAAAATTAAGCCTAACGTGAGAATTAGGCTTATATTATTCGCTCGTTCGTTAGACCTCCTTTTCGTAAGTTATGATCATATGATCTTATATCATTAATTATGACTAATGACTCTTCATGCATAGTCAACGACCAAAAAGTTTGGCATTCATAAAACTAGAAAAAAATAGGTATATACATTCAGATAAATTTACAGCCAAATCAAATATTGGGTAAAAGATAACCTCAAATATAGGTATTTGTTATGGAAAAATATCATTGACATCTTAGTTGATCCATATGTATATATGATTATAAGTATCTCCAAGATGGATTTGAGGTGACTTCAATATTGACTGAGAAGTAGCTTCATGATGAATCCGAATCCGAGGTGGAGGTATAGAGTTTTCGAGATAAAAGTATTGCACTCTCGATGAAAGTATTGTGCTTTCAATATGCCACCTGTATATAAACCAGGGTCAAGAAATTTTTTTGATTTGATCAATCCGAAATTTAAGTTAGTGATATGACATTTTTCAAATATGAGCTTAAGTAATTCAAGAAAAGAAAATATTTTTTTTTTATTTAGGATGTGTTTTTATATCTTAAAAAAATAAATAAAGTTTGTAATGTCTTTTCTTATTATAAATAAAGAGGAGTTTATGATTATTTTTTTTTGAGAACATAAAATTTAAAATTAACAAAAAAATTTATGATTATCTTTGTTAATAAATTATTTTTTTTATTTTGAATCTTTGTACAGCAACGAAGGATGACTTGAATTACACATGACGATTCCATGTCAATTATGCTAAATTTTCTATATCAATATCCAATGTATTAAACAAAATATTGTTTAACAAGATATCATACTCGGAAACATAAAGATCGTACTGCATTTTAATTCACCCAAATTAAATCTTGCGGAGTTTCTTCATCGACATCATTTATAGAAGAGCTGCAAATGAGAAGCACTTGAATTCACTTATAGTGATGATTTGTGTCTGTAGCATCATTTTTCTTTATTCATTCGAGTTACATACATAAGTCCACGACAGCCCATTTATATGTGATGCAGTCTTTCCTCCAGACCACCTGATGAAATGCCGAACCATTTCCTGAGATCAGCATTCTCTTCTTGAATGACTGGCCTTGGCATTAGATATGGTACCCTGAAGGAAGAAGGGGGGCGGGGGAAGCATTCAGACTTCCAGGTTATCTTTGGAAACCGATGCCTCCATTTCCTTCGTGTCTGAGTTAATGGATCTCAGATGGGCAATGAACTTACTGAACTTTGGCCTTTTCTGGGTGATGGCGATGGAGATGTCGTTGGGGAAGAGGTCACGGAGGACAAAGGCATGAATGATGGTGGAAACGAGCAGGGCTGTGACGGTGAAGGTGGAGATGGCAGAGAAGCCTACAGAGAGTGCCTGGGTGAACGCATTGGTAATTTCCATCGAATACTTGATGGTTGCAATCGAGAAGCCAGTCATTGGGAAAGTATACGCCCACCAAGCCAGCGAGAACCTGCCAAATCAATGGACAGAGTCAGTCACGGCAGCAGAAGAAGCAGAGCATCTTCTCCGATGGAAGAACAAATCATCACCTAAAGCCTCGGAAAAAATTGATCCTCACAGCCTGCAAAAAGAACACCAAATTCGTGCGAGTGATTAGCAACACCAAACTCAGGAAAGAAGCGGAAGGTGATGGAGAGATGATGACTCACGAGAGAGACGTAGAGGAAGAAGGCAACGAAGTAAGCAATCCTGGAGCCGTAATCGAAGTCACCGTTGATCCTTGCCCAAGCCATGCAAGCGACACTGGGCGCAGCAACGAACAGGAAGAAAACAGGGTGCAGCTCCTTGGGGAGGGTCTTGTTGGTAGGAAGCCTCTGGTACAGGGTAACAAATAGGACCGTGTAGTGCGCCAATCCAACGGCGAAGAAGAAGATGGGACCTTCTTTGAGCCCCAGGGAGGCGCCCACCAACGCGCCGACGAAGTTCCCTACGATGGACAAATGGTTGGAAGGGTTGGCCACCTTGGACAGCCTGCGTTGGCCTCCCGACATCCACTGCCCGTAGATCTTGAGCTCGAGGCAGAAGATGGGAGCCATGAGGGCGTACCAGACAGCAGCAGGCGGCGTCTCCGTCACCGACGGCGGCACGCCCTGCACCAAGAACAGGCAGGCGATCCAAGGAGCAAAGAAGAAGTTGACTCGGACAGGGTGGTAGTACTCTCGTCTGACCGCTTCGAAGTAGAAGATGACCTTTAGGGCGTAGATGAGGGACACGGTGCTCATCAGCACCAGCGAGATGCACCAGAGGACGAGATTGACGGTCAGGCTCACGTTCAAGAAGCTCACCGACGGCGATGTGGCCAATGCCTTCCATAGGATGGCTTGGGTGCTCAAACCGAGGCACATACCGAAGGAAGATATGGGAAACCGGAGGAGGAAAGGCCATTTCTTGTCCTCGGGAAGCACCGACACCTCCGATACCTGCACGAAACAGAGGTGTTCAGTATGCCACAAGAAGCACCGAAACAGAAGAAGAAGAAGAAGAAGAAGTCCAAGGAAGAATCGAGCGTGTCGCTTGAGGTTCATCTCGAACCTCGGCGACTAACAGTAGAAACATCAGGCATTAGGAAGTCCTACAAAAGTGTTTGATGTGCATTGCTACCATGCCTTCCTCTCAGGATGCGAGCTACTCAACATCCTGCATAACTCCTTACGTTGAGGTTCCTCGGATTTAGATTACACATCGATCTGTAACTAAATCTTCTATAGAGGGATGAAGACGATATGAATGATGACTCTTGTAATCATGAGATAGAGAGATGAAGATTGAATACCCTGAGAGTGTCCAGTTCTGGTCCTTCCAAAGCATCGAAGTAGCGATCTACTGCGGGCACAGGCTCGACGTCGATAATGCTGGAGTCATTAGCCTCGTCGTCGGGTTCTTGTGGTTTCCCACGCAAGTTGGACAACTGCCTCTCCAGTCTTCCAGACCATGTCTTGAATGAATCGAAGCGTTTGTCCCTCTGGTTATCATTCCCTGACATCCTTCGACTCTTCTCAAGTGGATCAGCAACGACTCTACCATTTGCCATCACCTTCCCATCGGAACTCACCGGCAGAATAGGCTGAGAGAAGGACTTCCCCTGTTTAGGTTGCTCCGACACGGCAGCAGTGGGAGTAGCAGATCGAGCAGGTTGAGCCGTCTCACTTGCTCCGGATCCCATTTGGTTAGCTTGCAGGATATGGAATCCGGAAGGAGAGGCCGGAAGGCTTACAGAAAGAGCGTATGACAGATTGCCGCCTTCCTGTGCTGCTGATCTTACCGGAGGAATGCTGATCACAGTGGCAGGAAGATGACAGCACGCGTCTTCGGATCCCTGACACAGAGCACACAGATTTCTAAGCTTCATCACAAATCCGTATATAAAATCAACAGAACAGCTGACAACGTACTTTGCCCGCTGTTGTCTCTCCCTGCGGACTGGTAATGCCACAGGCAACACTGTCGAAGCCAGCAACCTTTTCGGATGCAGCACACTTGAGAAGAGATGGAAGTTCATCACAGGAAACTTGCTCCATCGGAACCAACTGCACATCATCAGCTCAGCAGATTCAAACAGCTATTACTGCTACTAATACTACTACTAGTACTACTACTAAAAGATCATACGTAGCAGACGTTAAACTACATCAGATATCATAACAATATGTGCACTGCCAAGTTACCTAATAACAAAGCTTGGGCCGGAAAAGGAAGTGCAATGAACGAGGGCGGCTTTTCTTGGTATATACCGACAAGGAAGATGAGATGAGAACAACCCTAACAACCACTTGACTAGGGTGGAAAAGAAGACGAGGAAGAGGAAAAGGAGAAAAGGAACACTGCTGGTATGGCAGCGACGGAGCAGAATATAGCGGCCTAACGGCGAGATATTATCTCTGGAACCCTCGCGGAGCTTCCCTTGTCGCCATCTCTCTGCGGTTTCTTGACGGAAACGCAACTTTGATATGTTTAAGCGATTAAAGAAAGCGAGCAGAAAGGCGCGGACTCGCAGAAGCTCGCGGCGTACATCGTTGATCAGCTCCGTATTATTATAGGGCTTGGCGGGTGGAGCAGAGCAGCGACCAGGGGAAGAATGCGCGGGGGACTGCCCGCCACAGTCGTCAAAAGAACTCCACGGCTGCTTTGACCGCCATGGGCCAGCCGATGTCCGACAGCACGTGCTGCCACCTTCGTCGACACGGAAGGACGACTTACCTTCCGCAAGTCGACCGCCGACCGTCGACCGTCGACCGCTGGACATGGAGAAACTTTTGCGGATCGGTCCGCGTGTGATCTCTCCATGCACGTGAGTGATCAGAAGTCATGACAACAAGATCGTGGATCCGATCCGATCGATCGATCGATCCACCAAAACCGTCCTCCTCACCTCGAGTTATCCATCCTGCGTCGGTCCCGGTGCGTGGGGCCGGTACTCCCGACGTCGGTCATCCCATCGTTGGGCACTGAGGTTTCAGCACTCGGCGCACGTTCTTCACGGACGCCACGAGTCCGTGTCTAACACGCGTGGGACCCATCGCGGGGCCCATCATTGTCGCCGATCACAGTCACGGGGAAGCGTGCCGATCGAGCTTATCGATCGAATCGTGTCACTCATGCCATCGAACGCTCTACCGATACTAAATCGACCAGCATCAGTTTCCCGAGCATGAAAAGCGAGGAATCGAACCAAAGCTCAGATATATGTTTATGGAAGGAAGCCAAATCAAAAGTAGCTGTACTCACCAAGTAAACCTAAGTGATTGATTTGCCTTGTTTTCGAGAGAGGAACACAAGTAATGCTACCCGGAAATCTCCAAAGCTGGCTGTTAAATCAGCAGCTCTCGAACTAAAAGACGGGGGGGGGGGGGAGACTACCAGCTCGGAGCCAACCTCTCACATTGCAAGACCTTCTTCTTGCTTGTGGTTTGGCTTTAAAGACAAGCAAGCAGGCCATGTCTGGCGAGACCGCGTCTGGCTGTTCCAGGAATCTGGTAGCCATTATTATCAGTAAACAGTCCCAAAATGATGGGGACAATGATAAAGGTGTGGATGATTAGCAAGACGGACATGACTTATTCTTGCCATTTGGCATGTACGTCAACCAACGTGGCGCTGGCTCTTCTGGACTCTGCTACATCAGTGGCGTGCATCGCCCCTGAAAGCTGCCAAGGATGATGACCTCACCGGCTTGACAACTCGATCGATAGGCGTATGTCCCACGTACAAGGTCGGCATGAAACGTTTCAGCGACGATTCCATCGAACTAAAAGGCAAAGACGCAATCAGTACTTGGGGAATTTATGAAGGGGTGACTCACACATCTGCCAAGCCACAAGTCACATGCATTGTCGCCAGACCAACGAGCATCCCGGGCTGCTAATTACATCGTTTTCCTTAATCAATTCCCCTCTAAATAGACGTGGAACAAATCATTCATGCCATCATACGATGAATCGTGCAGTCATATATGACATATGACCAACAAAATACTTTCCTCTAAAAATCCAACCAAACAATCATTTAGAACACGAGAAAAAAAAGAAGTCTACATACGATCTGCTATACGGGCACGCATCTGCTCGATCTCGAGCTTTGACACTGGTTGCATGGGCGCGGCCAGTTCCGGATGCCAGTTTATCTTTTGTCAAACGCATTGACAATGATCTAATCAAAACCAAGCTTGATAATGCGAGTTCCAAGATGCTTTCCCACATCTACAAACCTACGTTCCTGACTTTGTCTCTATCTCGACCGAACCAGGCAAAAATGACGTTATCAACGAGAAACATGCACGACTTAATTCCATGTTCAGACATTGCATACCGGTTTCGAGAGACGCGGAAGAAAGGTAGTGTGGAGTGAAGACCTCGGAGACGACCACGGGACGAAGGTAATGTCAAAGAAACCCGCAGCTACAGCAATGGCAGTGCGATTGCAGCGATCGAGCGAGCTTGGGTTTCAAACCTGCGGTACTAAGACGAGGATCGGACGAGAAGCATGCTGACGACGGTGTACTTGGAATGAGACGGGAAGAACTAATATTGTTCCATGCGGAGAGCTCGGTCGGCGTCGTTCCAAGGTCAGGGAAGATGAACGTTGGTTCTTGTAGGAGGGTGCAGATAAAGAGATAAAGCTCCACACCACGGGCGCACCCAGCAACTCCGTGCAGAAAAGTGAGTGGAAGAGGAATGCTTTTCGAATCGCATGGTGGACGCGCGAGCCCAAATTGACGTCAAAAAGCGAGGGATGGAGTGCGGGTCTGTGTCAGACGGCCGGTTTGCTTCCTGGCTGAAGTAATCTGGCATGGTGGCGAGAGCGACCGAGTTCGTTCGTAGCAGTAGTAATGGACGTAAAAGCATTAAAAGGTGAGAGGACTAAGTGGGTAGCCATTAAGGTCAGGTTACGGAATGAAGGATCCACAAAACAGTTTTATATGACTGCTTTGTGAGAGCTCTCTCTCTCTCTCTCTTTCTCTCTCTCTCATGGAGATGGAGGCCAGCAAAGATGTGGCTTGGGCAACAAGTGGTGAGCTTCGCCAACCATGTGTTGCCTCCATGGATCTCTCTTTACGACAGTGTTAGGCCGCGATTGTAAAGCTCCAATCGCAGCAATCTATTTGCGCAGCAGCATGATGTGGTTGAGGAATATTTATGATATATTTACTGGTACATTGGAAACAACACTCATCGATTAGGTTAAATGATTAAGATGAAGTGAACAAAACGTTGAAGCTCACAAGCTTGCTTGCTGCTGCATGGCCCCAAACGTGATGTTAACTTTGAAGAGTTTTGGGATTAATGATGATTTGGTCGACTGCATATATGTATAGTCCAACTTCTAGAAAGGCTCACTGTTTTAAGTTTGTATTGTTACCAAAAGTCTCGAGGAGGCGATCGGCGTGCACTTTGTTATGTGCGTGGTGCGAAATATGCGTTAATGGAAGAGAGAGAGAGAGAGAGAGAGAGACGTGGAGGAGTTGCACAGTGCATGTTTTCGTGCATTAGGGTTATGGAAAGATTTCAAAACTATAAGAAAAAATGACGACGAAAACAAGAAAGACCAAGAGATTAATCAACGTGTGATTGATTATATATAAATATAATTGGATGGTTTTTCTAAAAAATCTTTTTTTTTTATGATGTCTCTATTTTTTATTTTTCCATTTGATATCTTTATTTTCCTCTAATACTCTAAATGCTCTTCGTTATCATTTTCTGTTCCATTATCGACTGTGTTGGATAAGGTTACCTCGTTTTCATCTTGTCATGATCATCTTTATTCTATCACAAAGTCTCATCATTTCTATCTCGTTGTGGGTGCTTCTGCCATCGCTATATCGATCTTGTCATTTCAACTGAGTAATTTTCATCTCATCATGGCCCCTTCTATCCTATTATGAGATGTTCTACCACTTTCAACCCATTGTGATCGTCTCTTTCTCCTATACGAGGTCCGTTATTTTCATCTCCCATGTGAAGAATATTTAGGATATTGGAGGAAAATAAAGATAACAAATGAAAAAATAAAAAATGACTTTTTTCAAGAATATCATTAAAAAAATATTTTATTGGTCATAGTGAAATTCTTTTTTTTTAATTAAATAGTGATTAAGATAGGAGAATGAATATTCTTGGACACTATAGTCTTGTATTCTTATTTCAAATCAACTTTTAATTTGTCTCTTTATTCTAAAAACATGAGTATGTAGATCATAGTATGCTCCAATGAATCCTATTCGTAATCAATGTTGTGCTCAACGCCTTCTTATTTCTTCGTCATCACAAAGACTCAAAGCCAAACTCGATGAGCTCGACGAAGAACATTTTTTATTTCTCAAATACAATCAAAGTCGACTCGTATATTTTCCCTATACAAGGAGAACTTTATAAGCACATAGTCTTATCTTTTTAATTACCTAAATATCTACAAAGATGAAGACAAATAAGAAAAAGTTTCCTTCGCTTGAAATCATTAACCCCATTACCTGACATGACAGCTTGAATTATGGACGCAATTATTGACCTTAATGCTTGAATTCTGAGGCTTATGCAGGCCTTCGACTCTCCTAAGACAACAATTTTGAAAAGATGATTTTTCGTTCGAGATTGCTCTTCACAAGATGTATGAGAATTCTTAGGAAGATGATTTGATATGATCGAGATGGAGGATTAATCCAATGATTTGTGGTCCTGAAGCTTTTATTGCGGGCTTTAGCAGCAGAACACCAAACACGTACCAATGTCACTTGTCCACTTATCATCATTATTATTATTATTCTATAATTATCATTAATGTTCATCTATCATTAGCAGTGTACTACGTGCAAAATAAAACGTGGATCCATCATCAAAGCACGTACGCACCCTAACACTCGCCCACTTAAGTCGTAATCGAAGTTGCGACGTATCCTTCAGCTACCTGTCCTGTACTCTCTTTCTAAACCCGATGAAATGATGTAAATTGACGTGGATGGTGGACCCAAATACCAGGCGTCGACTGAGCCGACCAATAGCATCTCGATACGTAGGCCAGCCGCGGGACCCACGGTGGATCTGTTCCACTTGCGTTTTGGCCGAGCCGTTGATGACTCTCTCGCTTTCCGCAAAGGAGAGTACGGAGTTACGCGGCACAGTGGCCTCGTCACTTAGCCCGTTCTTTTGGTTAATGGGAGACAGACTTACTCCTGCTCGTCGTGCCCGGTGGTGGTCCAACACACATAGATGACGTCGACGACGATGCAAGTCTTCGACCTACTTATGCCACCGATCCTGGTGTGTATACGAAAAGAAGACTGCATGCAGGAGAAGAGTGGGTGAGACTAGCGTTTCCAACTTTGCATCGTCGAATCATCGAGCCCATCGTTGATCCTTGGGATGAGGAAACGATCGTGTTCCCTAATAATATTTGCACATTTTACACTCAACATCGTGTCCCATGGTTTCCCCAATCTCATCGTACGCAATGAGTTGGGTCACAACCCATACATTCCTATTCATTTTATTTTCTCCTAATAGAAACCTATTATCCACATAAAAAATATAATTTCCAGCGGCTCGTAGAGCCATTCACCGTCGGGTAGGAATGTTTGGGAACACGTGTTGGTCGGGGTGCGCCGGGCCCCTACAGCAGTGCAACGCAGAGGCGACGCGCGAGGGCCCCAGTGGCAAGCCACTGTAGTGGACCCTCCCCCAAAAAGAAATTAATTTAATATCATAGTGGATCGATGACCCACGTATCAGATATTAAACTGATAAGAACAGATACTACACTTGATCTTAGCCAAAAGGCCGAGAAAGGTATGAGTTCTCAATCGGCACCGCCCCATCTCTTATAGCGCTGTCATCCCAACCGAGGCCAGAGCTAAAGCGATGTGGGACTATTTCGTCAGTGTCTTAGCTCCCAGCTTTTCTTCATGGGGGAGGAGAAAACCTCACATCACATCATGATGATTAATCTCAACCATCTTGAAATTATATGGCAACTATCATCACTCACTAAACCCTATTATGAATATAAATTAAGCCCATATGTCATCTATAAACTTAGCTTTGAACGATGAATTATATCGATCAAATATTTACAATGGTACAGAACGAATGATCCTATGTCCAGATCTTCTTCATGTTATGTTTATATGAACAACCTTTCTACTAATTTCGTGTCTTGATTCCAAGACTGTGTCAATAATACAGGTTGTCGGAGAAGCAACGAAGCTTGTGTTTGTGGCCTATCAAGAACAAAAAGATTCGACAGCTTACCAAGAAATGGATAACTTGAGTTCGGTGGCTAAAGTAGCTCTCTCTCTCTCTCTTTCCTTCCATGGGGCCATTGTTCCAGCTGGAGTTTGCTGGATGACAAGGAGATGTGTGTCGTGATTAGTGCTTCTGTAGCCTGCCAAACTAGTATTATCGTCTAAACTGTGGCTCTCCCTGAAACTATTGCTCCGATGTTTCTGCTCGGAAGTTTTATCTCTTCAGTGCATTCATTACTAAATGGTCATCTCATACGTAAGTTGGTTAATGATGCCTCTCATGGAACCATAATTTAGTCTACTGTTGGATTCATCAACATAATCCTTTTAATTATAATTAATTCTAGTTATTAGACGAAAGCTAGCGGGAATAACGTATCCGTGTGCCTCTGCTTTACGATCCGCGCCAGCACGGCTCTTGAGGACGATGAACGGTGATCATCGTGCGCTTCCGCGCACCGGGGAAAGGATCCGACAACCCGTTTCCCGGGATTGCTTCGACTTCAATTCCCACACGCCACCCGCCGCTCCCCTCTTTAACGCCTTCTCTCCTCGACCTTAAAGCAAGGACGAGATTTTTAATAGCCGAACTACTCCCACTGTCTTTTCGCTCGGCTCCTTTAGCTGGATTGCCTTGGCGTGGAGGCCTCGTTGGAGGAGGAAGATGCAGCAGTGGCGGCCGGAGAGCGGGGCCATGACGTTCGACGAGGCCTCCGTGGAGAGGAGCAAGAGCTTCGTTAAGTCTCTGCAGGTCTTCCCCGGCCCTTCTCTCCTTTCGCTTCCTTTGCGTCCGCCTCCGGATCGGATCCGCTCCTCTCATCGTTTGTTTCTTGCTAGGGTTTTCGTGAGTGTTTGTTTTTGTGCGACTCGAGGACTGCGGTAATTTGTGTTGGGCGTCGCGAAAAATTCCTCCTTTTTCGTTCCCAAGTTTTTCTGCTCCTCCGGTGATGGAATGGACTTAGGATAGGGCGTAATCTGCTGACTTCTTGTGGTGCTTCGAGTCGAGATAGCAGCTGTGATGTGGATGTAATCCGCTACTGACTCTGCGCAGGAACTCAAGAACCTGAGACCTCAACTCTACTCTGCTGCGGAGTACTGTGAAAAGTCTTACCTCCACAATGAGCAGAAACAGACGTAAGGTTTATTTCCCCAACAAAAACTTCTGCATGACCGATTACAATTGTCTCTCTATCATTCGTTTTAGCCCCCATAGTGAAAGAACAAATACCGCAACGATTGCTTGCTTGCATAGTTAATTAGGGGGACATCATAATTAAAATTTATAGTTCTAAATGCAGATTGTCATATTTATCTTTGGGATTTTAGGGTATTGGATAATCTAAAGAATTATGCTGGGCGAGCCCTTGTGAACGCTGTAGATCATCTTGGCACGGTTGCCTACAGACTGACCGACCTGTTCGAACAACAAATGCTGGACGTGTCGACCATGGAGATGAAGATTTCATGTTTGAATCAGGTACGCATTGTCTGATGAATCGGTAGCGCTTCAACATGTCGTGCAGAGTTAATTCTTCCTGTTTTCATCTCAGCGAGCTTTTGCTTGCCAAGCTTATGGCGATACAGAAGGTCTTAGTAAGCTTCAGATGACGGGGAGAATCTCGAGACATCACAAGCATTACAGTCTGCCAAGTATGAATCGACGAAGTAATGTTTGCTTAGTCTCTTATGGAATGGTGAAGATCATATGTGTAACCCTTATGTTTAATCACCCGAGTCAGATTCTGGCCGTAGAAGTTTGCAGAGTAGCTCACAGTGGCCAGCAGGCGGCAATGCAAATCCATGTAAGGCGAGACCTCATTCTCATGCTCCAGGTCTGTAATTATTATGCATCTGATATATCCTTGTTCTTGCTATATGTTTACATGTGTATTACATGTTGATGCCAAATGATACCTTCTGTTTCTGTTGATGATAAAGGAAAACCTGGATCAAAAACTCTTTCCTGGCATCTAGCTTCAGAAGCTAATTCTGCACAAAATGAAGCTCCTCCTCTCCCAGCACCATGGCAAGCTTCTGGAAACCTTTTTCTCTAATAAGCTCCTTTTATTACTGGTTTCCAAGGACATTTTTGCTATGTGTGCAGCACTGGAGATGCTAAGTCTTCTAAAATAGATTCTCAAGTCTTCCATCTTTTAGGTATGTTCTTTCTTTGATGATAATTCTTGAAGCTAATTTTTTTGATCAAGAGGTCATGTAAAATTTAGTTGCAGAAGAGCCTGCTACGTCACAGCCCTTATCGAGTCTTCTTCTCCAGGCAGCTAGTGGAAATGGGACTTCCTATATGATCTCAAACAAATTTAATTTGATGGTAAGTTTCACATCAACCATAGTCTTATAGATTCAATCTGTGACTTGGAAGAAATCTTATCTCATAATCTTAAAGATCCAATAGGTATAATCATCAGGGTCACACTAAAACCCCAAATACTTGGGATATCTGTACTGACCGGTAGGTTCTATTATCCTAAAGAGATTAATTTCCATCCACATCAAGTTATCAGATACGTATATATGTTAGCTCAATTGTTATCCCTTGATGAATAATTTCAGATGTTCTTGTGTCAACAAAAAGTCATGAAAGTAATGTGTACTTTAACTGATGATAGAACATGTTTCAAGTCTTATGCAAGATGTGACCATATTAATATGTGTATCGCTTGAAGAAAAACCAGGGTTCATGTGCATTCCGTTCCTTGTTAAAGATAATACAATCAAACTTGTCTTTGTAAATTTTACTGAATTATCAAGTGAATCGAAGAATTTGGTTTAACTGCATCAAACTATTCCTTGAGACAATACCAAATGCCTAGGAATGAGATGTAGCTTGATCTTGTCATTGTTGTTTTGTGCTTTTTCTGTAGAACTACTATCTGAGCTATTTCTGTGCCTAGATCTAAGAAGTGATGGATTGTTGCTTGGCAGGGTCCTTTGGAGGATTCAAAACCTATATCAGCATTCCGATCCTTTGATAATCCTAGTAGTAGACGTGAGATCTGTAAGCCGCTGCCGCAGCACGGTAAGAGCCTGCTTTCAACATTGTTCACCAAGAACAAAACCTTGAAAGCAAGAAAGATCTCCATCTGATGACGGATTTCCCAGTTTTCTTATGGTGAAGCATTCAGTATAATTGTATTACCCTAATTATCTTTATTTGTGGAATGTACCCCACCGACTAACTAGAACCTTACTTCCATAAACAATCTCCATTGTTGGAATATGATGTCAGGCCTTACAATTTCGATGTGGAAGTTAGTAGCTCTGAGTTTGTGGTCAACACAAATCGGGTTTAGTTTTTCTACCTTTTTAGATCTTTCTAGAAGATCGAACTAGAAGGGCGTTGACCATGTGATGACATTTCAGATCGACTGACTGTACTCTTTAAATACCAATACCATGATAGAGTTTTAACCATGTGTGAATAAAGAAGGAAACATGGAAAGAGACTTGAAAACTGCTACTCACAGTTGGGTTGGCAGATCGTTCTTTCCTGATACCAAGAATTCCATTCATCATCCAAGAACAACCAATTCGATTAATTCTGAGGAAGGCCAAAAGGGAAGGTGGAGCTCGATTTCAGTTGCAGATCCATGAACAGGACAGGACTGTTCGTTGTACAAAATGCATGAAACGCTCTCCTGCTGAGGAATCTATTACACTCGATCTGCACATGGCTCTAAATATTTCAAGTTGCAACCGTATGAATGCAACTGAGATCAAACTCCTCTCTACTAGAAACTGAGATCCTTCCGCAGATGAATGCAACTCCTGACCTGCCTTTCTTCCACAAATAGTGAACACACAAGCTTTGTAATCACCATATCAACAAAAGTCTTACTTACGCCGCCTGGTCTGAATGGCCTCTGAACTGTCTTTTCTCATCATAGTTACAAACTCGTCGTAATTAATTCTTCCATCCTGTATTTATCAAAGACACGAGCATAAGACAACTGCTACTTCTGATCCTCGCAACCCATGATAGAAATAGTAGTTAAGCCGAAACTGAATTTAATAATAATAATGGGCATTCTGCAGGGAAAAGTACTAATTAAGATATCAATTCTCATGATTCCGCATGGCAACAAGCACCTTACTAAAACAGCAGAAAAAAGAAACACAAGTTAGGCAATCTGGAAGAGCTAACTTTTGAGTTCTAAAATGTGCCATCTACACCCCAAACAGAGATAAGAACTCCCATGTTTTGGGTCCAAACTCCTATCCTCCACTTTTGTAGATTCACCATTTATTGTTTCTCTCTTAACATGCCAAGGGCTCTAATAATCCATTTCCCTCAAGGTTCCATAAGTACTCCCAGAAACATAATAGAAACGTGATACAGGTAACTGCTGATCGCCTACCATTGATATTCAGTGCAGCGAAAATTGGACACCTACTACCAGTATACTATGTCCCTATGCAGATAATACCAGTAATTTATGTAGTTACGCACCAGTAACTTCAAAAAACACTTAAGACCCTCAATACCTTCCAGCAGCTCACTAATCTTAAGGCCAATCTCCACAAATCAAACGTTTACTTTTCAAATCATTGTTCCCCTGCTTCCAAGCACTCCATCTGCAGTGCTCTTGGAATCAAGGAAGGGACATGGCCCGTTAAATACTCAAGCTCTTTCTTATCTTTAGGTCGCCTTGCCCAAACCCATCAAAACATCTTGGTGGGTGAAGTTTGGTCTAAAGTCAAAGGCTGGTACAAAGGCCTTTTATCCCAAGTGGAGAAAATGGTATTAATCAATTTGGTGATTAACTCTATTCCTACGCACCTTCTCTTAAACTGCTGCTTTTCTGACTCCATCCTCAATCATATGACCAGAATTGTTAGGAATTTCTTTTGGAATTCTGATTCCTCCTCCTCTATGAAGAATCTTATAAGCTGAGACATCATCACCAAGCCCAAGGACTATGACGGGCTTGGCCTGAGGGATCTACTCACAGTTAAAAGATCCATCTGCACCAAACACAATTCTGCCTATCCTCAATAATGCTGATTCGTTTTGGGTCCGCATCCTTAAAGCCAAACATGAAGACCTCCACCCCTGGTGTCATTCTAATTCCTCCACCCTGTCCAGATCTAGGAGGAACATCAATCTGCTCACTAAGGACATCAGACTTGGATTTAGGAAATTGATAAGGGATGGGAGGACCACTAACATCTGAACTGATCCTTGGATCGACAACATTTCTGTTAGTTTCTGGCCTACAATGGTTATAGGGGTTATGACATCTTTTTGCCATGTTTCTGATCTGTGGGACTCAAACTGCTGGAGCCTTACGAAACTTGAATTGCTTTTTAACCCTTCTTTGGTTGAAAGAATCTGAGGATTCACATTGCTAGGCTGCCCAGTGATGACTCATGGATCTGGCAGCCCAACCCATTGGACTCTCTTTCCTCAAGTGGCGCCTATCAGTTCGTCAAATATGAGCCTAACGAAAGGGATTGGCATGGCTGGAAGGCGATATGGCACCTTCCTATCTCCCCAAAAGTGAAGGTTTTTCTTTGGAAACTTTGCTGAAATCGTCTGCCAACTTCTGATCTCCTTGCCTGCATCCTTAGCCACCAAACAAATAAATGTTATGTCTGTCATCTCTTTGAGGATTCTACTAATATTTTCCTTAACTGCTCCTTTTCCCTCTCCTTTTGAAGCCTCCTCCAGAATAGCATAGGGATCAGATTCAAACACTTTGACTCATGGTCATTGGGCTCCTGGCTGCAGGAAGGTCAAGCATATGAGAAACCTGTTTCTAGCTGGATTCTCAGTTTTATTTCCTACTTTCTTTTGTCCCTTTGGCTCAATACGAACCATGCCAGATTTCGCAACCGTTGTGTCAGTCCTTCCACCTTAGTTTTCAGGGCTCTAGCCCTTATGAATGAAACTCAGCCCATATCCACTGCCTACGAGGACAACCAACCTGGTTCCTCAAATCTCTCCAACTAGAGAAGGGTGTTCTGACTATATTTTAAAGTGTGATGGATCTTTTCTTTCACCTGATTTACATGCATGTATTTGCTTCATACTACAGTCCCCTACTGATAGAACACTTGCAGTTGGCTGCTCAGTCTGAAAAGCCCACAATGCTCCTATGGTGGAAGCTCTTAGGCATGCTGAAGTGGAGGGCTGGCGGAACTTTCTGCTTCAAACCGATGTGCAAGCCATTGTCCACATTGTCGATGGCTCCCAGCACTCTCCCTGGCAGCTACAAGCAGTTGTTTCAGACATCCTCCTATTAATGTTCAATCTTCATGTGTCCGGCATTTGTTATATTCCCAGGACAGTTAACAGCAAGGCTCACCAGCTTGCTGCTTTTGGCAGAACCTCTGGGTTCTCAATGCTTTGTACCCTGGATGATTTAGAGAGCTCGTCCAGCCATCTTGCTCAGTTTTTTGATCAAATGAAGTTCTATTTACTTAAAGAAAAAACTTCAAAAAACTTGGATGTGATAATCCTTGGATGGAACAATCTTCAGGTATCTTTAATCACAGTTATTTGTATATTATGCTATTTTTTAATTATTTTTCTATTTGATTCCTTCTGTGATTCTTCCTAAACCCTTCCATGATTCTCAAACAAAATTCGGCCTCCTAAAGGAAAAACATGTTTCTAATATTTTACTTAGTATCAACTTCTTGCTCCAAGTCCATCTGCAATTGACTGATTAAAACCAATAGAGATGAACTCATCCTCATTCAGTCAAACAAGTTGTAAAATTCAGCAGAAAATTTAAGCAGAGATCGGAGCCTAGGAAAACGATGAAGCATGGCATCAATTGACACTACAAGGTTACATGTAAAACCACGTCGACTCATTCTTGATCAGTATCCTGGCCAAATGGTGGACCTGCTGATCAGCATTGGAAGTAACATAGCCACCAGCTCTTTTCTAGTTTGACTTGGTATCCTGTCTTATTATGTGACAGCATTCTAAACGTGTTACTTTTTTTAGTCTAAGTGCCTAAAGGTAATATAGTATGCATTACGATTAAAAGTCATCAACACCTCCATGCACATTGGACACCATCAAAATGTAAAAAAGGCTCAATCATGAAGTGAAGTTTTACTTCCTGAAAAGAAGGATGTGAAAAGACTTACCTTGTCTGTATCAACTTCTGCAATTATCTCTTTTATTGTTTTCTCATCACCCATGTTATACTTCTTGAGAGCTTGCTCTAATTCCTCAACAGTGATGTACCTAGGTAAGAGAAGGATGAAAATAAATCTTATTCACTTGCATTTAAATATTGAAGAACATTCAATCAAGTAAAGACAAGGTTACCCGCTCTTGTCTTCATCAAAATACTCGAATGCCTTGTACAAGTGATCTTCTCTTTCCACTCTGTTCATGTGCATTGTAGCTGTTATAAATTCAATATAATCAATGCTTCCATTTCCATCTACATCAGCCTGCCATGAAAATTAGGTCACATTTGGTGCTATAGTGCTTTAAATCATGGAGCAATAACAATTTTTAAGATAAATACAACAGTTAGTTGATAACAGGAAAGTTATGTTTGCTTCTTGCAAAAAAATTCGAGTTGAATGAGTGAGTGCTGCAACTAAAACATGCCAAGTAACTGACATGAGATTTAGCGTTTACTTACATCACATGCATACTAAGTAATTTTTCAGACAAGATATGTTGCACTGTGGGTATGAAACAAGACTTGGATGACAGCAGTCGGAAAGAATATGATGACCCACATACTAATGGAGGAATGTATTATAGTCTTTTAGCATCCATTGAGATAAAGTTGACCAGAAGACAAATGATCTTGTAGCAGGCCTCACAACCTAAAGATAGAAAAGAACTCATCCCCCTTGAAATAAAGAAATTGCTGTTGATTTCAGTTTTGCTCTTGTAGAAATAGAAATATGGCTGATAATCAAGACAGATGGAAATGCATAATGCAAGAGATTGTGAATACTTGCCGTCCGACTATGACAGATCCACAACAGATTGTTCACAATCAACCCACATTTGGGTTAAGTTCTTTCAGACCAGAACCTAACCCATTCATTTATGAGTCACATGTGTTTAGCTTAACTAGTGTCTCTCAAGAATTGGCAAAATGGAGCAACATGACATCATATGAATATTTTCCGGCCATACACTCCATTGTTGGCAAAAGAAACATTATTTTTTTTCTGTTTCAATCTTAGACTTTGGCTTTCGTTACCACTCTTAACTAGGAAAACATCTTATACAAGAGTAAAGATATCATCCCTTCCTTAAGAAGGTTCTAATAAACATGTTCATAGTGACTGAACTTTGAAATTTTCCAAATATTTCTTATTAAAGCTTGTATATCACTATGGTTCTTATAATATTCTCATGATGGAACATAAAGCAGATGACTGGCAACATTCTTTTAAGTAATTCTGGCAATAGCAGCTGCTTTTCTTGTAAAATGGATGACAGGCACAAATAAAAGACTTGATCCACCATTTTCAATTGTTTTTTTGGAGTGAAATCACGGTATGTGGCATATCTTTTCAAATGCCAACGAACTAATTTTTGGTCTCTATACTAAATTCAATAAAACTCTCATTAAGGAATTAACTCCATCAAAGCTTGTTTTTATGGTTAAATTCACAAATTTAAGCCAGAGCATCTGCTTAAGTACTTGGGCCCATTGTCCAAGAATATAATCAAACAAGAAGTTAAACAGAAAAACAAATGTGCCTTTGCAAGGGAAAGATAAAGTAAAAAACATACTGCCTCCATCAGCTGCCTAACTTCAGATTCAGAAATCTTGATGCCCAAATTACCCAATTTGGGTAGGCCTGCTTTCAGTTCTTCAAAAGTTATAGTCCCGCTATTGTCAGTGTCAATTGATTTGAACATCTCTTTCAAGCCCATAATTTCATCCTCTGACAAACTTTCTGCTATGACCTGGGCAACCATATATTGTGGTCAGTGTAGAATATCCATATAGATCCAGAAGAAAATGCAAAGACACCTCACCTTCAGTGCCACTTTCTTAAGCTTGTTCATTGCTCTGAACTGCTTCATTCTATTCATAACTGCAAGATCAAGTGGCTTATCAGGTGCACCATCTTCTTTCATCCATGGATAGTCTGCATACAATTTCAATTGTCAAACTGAGTGAAATATTTTTGCTGACGAGTGATATAACTTATAAGAAGAATAGGAAGCAGATATTCGTCTGGTTTGGGCACTGTAAATATGACCCAGGTCTAGATTTGATGTAGGAGAGACATCCAAATATGCATGCAACCACAAGTGAAGGCAGAATAGATTGAGTTTAGATGTGCCGCGTCATTCAAAGAATTACTTAGTCGCATATGTCATCATCAAGTTAACAAATTGAACAGAAATACTAAACATCAGTTGACTCTTAATGGAAAAAAAGTGTTTACAGAGTTTAATCAATATCACTAATATTGTACGTCCTTCACTTATTTGGAGCTAATGAATATGGTTTCATAAAATTTTGAAGAATAAAAAATAAAATTTAAAACCAAACTCTGTGATGAATTAAAAGCAACCAATTTATCCAAGAAATACTTCAAATTTTAATAGACTATGACCTTATAACCGGCACAACTAATGCATTCACCTTACCAATCATTACCTCATACTTGGGGCATTGTAATGCAACAATCTTATTGACCGTCACCTTAAACTGGAACATTATGCACAAATTCGGTACAGGAGCTAAGCAATTTTAGGTATGGAAACCCAATTTGTTAATGGGACAAAAGTCAAAGCTTACTCAGAATTTCAGCAGCGGTAAGTCGTTCTGTAGGATCTGCTCTTAGCATCTTTTTGATCAGTTCTTTTGCACCAGGAGATATAGAAGGCCAAGGATCAGATGAGAAATCAATATAACCATGTAATATAGCATCAAATATACCATCCTCAGTCTCTGCATAAACGAAAATTTATATTCTTCAACTGATTATACTCAAGTTCAGATGACAATTTTCAAGCTCATTTATCTTCATAATTAACAAACCTGCCCAAAAAGGAGGAACACCAGAAAGAAGGATGTACAGTATCACTCCAGCACTCCAAATATCTGCTTCTGCTCCATACTGCCGCCGCAAAACTTCAGGAGCAACATAATATGCACTTCCAACAAGATCATTAAATATTTCTCCTGCACAACACAATTGGTTTTTCTGGTCTAAGTATGAAGCTTTTGTTATTAAAAGAAAACACAATTATGCATGAATACTTAAGAACAGAAAAGACATCCGGTAGGATTTCCTTTGGATGAAGAATCATTTCACATGTTTGATTTTCTTTTACAGAACATACCGAAGAACATGTATAAACAGGAACTGAATATACAACAAAAAATGGGTATCGGTTTACTACCGCAAAATTTATGGTCAGGACAGAGGTGTGCTAAATCGATAAAGAAGTCTGACTCATCGCTAAGCCAAGGTGACAGTGGACAAGTTAATTTAGTTGGGCAGCTACATATCTTCTCAAAAGCTTTTTAGACTTATCAAACATTATGTTCCTATAACTACATTTTTAGACATACACTCAAAAGTATCCATTGTCTGCTGCCCTTTCCAATATATTGGATCCACCTATTGGTAGGTTTGATTGGATGGTGAAGAGTGAGAGCAGGGAACTTGAACAGCCAGTCTCATGCCCCAGCACAAGGAACAATGAAAAAACTTGGCTCTGGACATATATAGGTAGGTATCTTGAAGAATATGTTTGGCATGGTTTTCCTTCCATTTCAAACTCCATTGCATCTATTAGTATCAGATTAGTACATCAAGTCTCCTCAAGCAAAATCATGATTGCTAGGATAAGAGTTTTAATGTCAACAAACAACGAGTTGTTCCTACAATAAGTAATCAATTTATGTTCAAAAGATTACTCTCTGATGTAATATTCTTTGTTGACTGCTGGTACGTTTTGGTTTGAGTCCAAGCATAAGCTCATTAGCTGCTCCGAATAATTATTGTGAACCTAAGAAGGATGACGAAATGGGCACTTGCAGACTTATTAGCAAATCAACGGAAAGGGAGATACGTTATTAACTTACCGGGCTTGAAGAAGACAGAGAGCCCGAAATCGGTGGCCTTGAGTGGTGAATTCTCTCTCCTGTTCAAGAACAAGAAGTTCTCTGGCTTAAGATCCCGGTGCATCACGCCCATGGAGTGGCAGGCATGGACAACGCTGACGATCTCTCGGCAGAGGGCGGCGGCCGCTCGCTCGGAGTAATGGCCCTTGGCGATGATCCTGTCGAAGAGCTCCCCGCCCTCGCAGAGCTCCATCACGAGGTTGACCGAGTGCCGATCCTCGTAGGCTCCCTTGAGCTCCACGATGTTGCGGTGGCCGGTGAGGTGGTGCATGATCTGGATCTCGCGGCGGACGTCATCGAGGTCGTCCTGGCGGACGAGCTTCCGGGTGGCGATGGCCTTGCAGGCCAACTGCTTCCCGGTCTCGCGGTGGACGACGAGGTAGGTGACCCCGAACTGGCCGCGACCGAGCTCGCGGCCGAAGCTGTAGGTGGCGCGGACGTCCTCCATGGGCCGGCCGAGGACGCGCCCGACATCGGAGGGGACCGGGCGAGGGACGGTGGGGGCGGGGGATTTGGGCGAGGCGGCAGCAGCCGGGGGGACGGGGACGGGGACGGGGGCGGGGGCGGGGGCGGCGGCGGCGGGGGGGTCGGGGTGGGGGCGGGTAGGGGTGGGGAGGTCCGGTGAGGGGGAAGGGGGCTCCTGGTGGCGGGAGGCGCGGCTGCCCATTGGGGTTCTTCTTCCTCTCTCTTCTCCGCTCCTATCCCGTGGATGGAGTCCGAATTAGATGGGGGGAAAGAGAGGGAGGAGATGGAATGAGACGAGAGCAGTTTGGTTTAGGTTAGGTTTGGATTAATGGGAGAAGAAGAGGATTAATTAAAGCCGAAGGGGAAGCGGGGATGGCGATGTAACGGAGAAGGGACAGACGAAGGAACAGGGAAGGAGGGTTGACCGGCCGTAGTCGGTAGACGCTGATGTCTAAAGTGGGAAGCACGGGGGACCGAGTGTCCGCCGAGCGACGAGCGCCTTCGCCGAGGCACCGGGGAGGGCTTCTCCTATCGGGGCCCCACAAAAACATACCTGTCCGCTGGTTACCCTCGGAGCCCTTCGGGGACCCCACTCGGGAGCCGTCGTAGCCTCCAATCACAAGGTAGGTAGATCGGATCGCCGTTTCGGTCGGTTTACGATTTAGCCACGGACAAAGTTGCTTCGTCGACAACTGGATCGGTGAGCTGGGATCCGCGTGACGCGGATGGAGATCAAGTAACATGTTGGGCTCGGACACGAGGCGCACTCACACGTGCAAAGCGCGTCACCGTATTAATAATATATTCGAGTTAATTTGGCAAGTCTTAAGATACTGTCATAAGTGCTTTTCGTAATATTATAAATATGTCCAATTCCTTTGAATCAACAAGAATTCACCGGTGCCTTTGACATTCGGATGTCTCGGTGCTTAGTCGATTATTCTATACGTGTGAGTATCATATTATTTGATATAATAATTTCTTAAAAAATAAAGATTCGCTATTGTGACATATTTGATCGAAACATTATATTATGCAATCAACGGAGATATCAAATAGCTTAGTAGCTCATCTTTGATCATGACGGCTTCGACTTATACAAATAAGGTAGATTTTGTCAAGCTGATCAATAGATCCTCTAACTATTAAATAACCAATATACATACATGATGGGAATACTCTTATGCATGTGAGTTCGAACTCTCTGTATGAGTTAGAAGAGGATGCTTATGAAACAATACTTTTGTACAGTCCTACAGCTTATTACCAACTCAAAATCACACCGAGAAACATGGTTGCCGTAGAACTATGATGCCTAACACATGAATGAATGCATTAATGATTAATTCACAAATAAGTTGAGTTTTGGATAGCAAAAGAATGCCATTGTATCTATCATGTGCATGCTTTGATCTCTTTGACCACACCTTCTGCACGTGCATCAGCATCATAATTCTTGCCAAAAAATTTGACGAGCTCCATGTTTGGGTTCATCAAGCACCTGCAAGCTGTTCAGAACAAAAAAATCAGTACAATGGATCTAATTGCCAGAACATGTTTAAAAGATCTATGACAGCTTACAAGCTTCAGCCCACTACAAGAAGTGATTTCAGTAAACAATACAACTTCAAGCAGAGTAATCAGCATGTATGCATCAAAATCAAACAGAATTTTATATGTAAAGATGCAGACCTAGAGATGCATTCAAATATCTGGGTCTTGAAATTGCAAAATACAAGACAGAAGGTCACACTAAAAGCGATTATATTAAATGTCTCTATGAATCATGCTAATACTGAATGGACAAAAAGGACCATAAAATTTATGACATATGTAGGACCATTCACAAACTCTTCTTTTATGGTCCTGACGTCATCATGTAACTTGTTTTGGAAGATTCAGTAATACCACTCAAGTTGAGGCAGAAATGATCATGGAAGAAACTACTTTCAAAATGCTCATAGTTGAATCAGCCAACAATACCTGTTCATGATAATGAAAGCCATCATAACTTGCATTTAAATACCAATCATGATTAATAAAATCAAGAGGCAGAATTTGAATATCCATGCAGTTGGCAATTGTACCCTGTGACCCTGTCCATGCCAGTGTCTTCACGTCGTGGGAACAGCTCCTCTATATACAAAGGAGGCTGATCCCCTTGAGATCCTACATTAGCGGTAAACCTCATACGCTGTATTCGCACCTTGGCTTGTCTCCGACAAAAATGCAGCATGACACCTGTTAAATAAATTGCACCTGAGAAGGTTCTATCAGCAATATGTACATAACAATAGAGTGGTCGACAAGGTAGTCAGAACCCTCCTGCTCCGTCTTCATGTAATAGACTCGAAAAGCATGAGCAACTGGTCTAGTCTCATCTGCTGTACCAGTCAAGCCTATTAAGTCTGGGTGAAATTCTGCAATCCAAAGCAAAGAAATCTAGCTAATAAGAATAACATCTAATCCATTATTAATATTAGACTACCAAAAAAATTTGCTACCAACCACTTGTATGAACCAAAGAATGTAGATAAAATACCTTTCACACATTCACATACTTGTTCAACATTATCTCTCTCAGGATCAACCGTTATGAAAACAGGTACGACTTCCATCCCTGCCTTTGCTTCTGGTAGAAAATATATTAGTGATCAGGGATTCTATTGACCAAATCTTGAAAATAAAAGTAACAATCATATGAAATGGGGCTAGTTATCCAAAAGATGAATGCTGCATCCAAGGAGTACAAAAGAAATGCAAGTAACTATGGTGCATGAAAAGGCCAATGGATGAAAAGGATGCTCTATTATGAAATTTGCATAATAATGTGATTTTCTTGTAAGATCACAATAATAACAGTCTCACAATTACTACTGAAACATTAATAACACTGACCATATACGAAGCAAGAAAATATTACCCCAAACTATCATCATTATCAAAATCGGATGATATAAGTTACTCAAACTACTCTTTAATGAAAGGCAGCCAATGTTTCAAATATTGCTGCATACCAACTGCACTGCACCGTGCCAATTCTTCAGTTCACTGCCTAAATCACATTCAAAATGAGATTGCATGCCTACATAAACAAAAGTACAAAAAAATTTGAATATTAGAGCTGCATATGTAATAATCACCTGAGTATATGTTCCCAGAATTAGTGAGCCAAAAAAAGCTTGAAATCCCTTAATCCTGCTCATCGCTTTAGAAAAAGAACCTGAAAGTAAATTTATATTCCATGTTTGAATTTAATGAAATGTTCAACACGTTCAAGAAACATGCAACATATAAACTGCAGAACAGAAAATGAGTGAATAGATAACCAAAATTTCTAGGATGGAAAAGAACGATCAAGAATAAACAAAGAAATTCCAATGACTAAAGGATTATGACAGTTCATCAATGGGCTAATGCAGACCATGTTGAGGTGCCACAAGAAGCATTAGGACAAACTCACCCGTACATCAAAATTATTTAACACAAAAGTGCCTCAAAGTCTTTTCACAATTGCTTTACCATCTTGTTTCAAGTTCTTCATTTTCCTTTCTCTCTTTTGAACAAACCTTCAATCTGAAACCTGCTTAAAAAGGCAAACCAGATAGTTTTTTTCCCAAACTACGCTTGCAACTAATCAACCTTAATGACCAAGCCAAGCATCCCCTGTTGATTAAAAATCCAAAAGAGACTCAAAACCTTAACGAAAGATCGGTCAGCAGAAAGGAAATCTTGAAATTTTATAACAGTCAATGTTTTCTTATTCTACACGTCTTAAAAATCAAAGAACTCCAAGTCCTACCTTAAACCCTAAACGCTATATGCGACGATGGGAAACGCTAAGACATGATACAAGTCCGATCTCGTTTATATCCCCAGCCGCCGTTAGAAATTCGACCCGATCGGCATACTATTGGATTGTATGTTCATTCTTATCACGCCTCTTCTTGTTTTCGAGGGGGAAAAGAAAAGGATATATGATCTTTAAACTTGAACAAATACCCACAACGTAAATCAATCGAAATAAGCACAAAATAAGAGCAAAAAGAAAGAGAGGCCGCTCAAACAGCATCTTGTCCCAGACTACTACGATGAACCGAAGGAACTCAAGTTTTATCCCCTAAATAATCTCTACAAACGCAAGAAAATTAGCAACAAGATGAAGAACCAATCTCGACTACCGGAGAAGATGGGGAAGCAGATCCTTCTCTCTTGCGAGCAAGCCCATCTCTTCGAAGGAGATCGGAGCAGGTGGTTATGGTAGGAAGGAAGAGAAAGCGAGACGAATCAGACATACCGCCGTGTTAACTATCGGGTTTCGGGTAGACGGCGGAACCATCGATTAAAATTATTACGTCAAGAACGAAACGGATCAAATTCGGATTATATCGGGTCAAGATCCGAACCTCTGAAGACCCAGCAACTCCCTCTCAGGTCAATTGGCTTTCTCCCTACTCCAGTTCTCGAATCTGAAAGCACTTTTCCCAGCATAAATGCAGTGTCGGTAATGATATGAATTAAGTATTTAAAAAATTGAATCGAGAGATAAATCTCTTCTTAGTGGAGTGTTTTTGATAAGTGATTCGGGTAACTATCTATCATGATTTAATGGATATTATTCCAACGTAAAGAGTCAATCGAATCATAGTTTGTGATACAGGTGGTGAGTGGAATAGCAAAGATATTTAAATTGCTTCATCTCTTTTCAAGAATAACAATCAAAACAAGTGCTTTTTATCTTTGTTCATGGCATGGCAGACCATTCTTCCCTACCAAAATAAAGGCATGTTTCATTTCTCCTCCTGGCTAAATCATCCATCCTGGTGTTCGGCAAAGAAGGATAAGAGGAAGCAACATCGATCGTCTACATGGAAAGCCATATACGTTCTTTGTGTTACAACGAGATGAGTGCACGGAAAGCACATGTTTTACAAGGGATTTTGCAGGAGTGACAGGATGAGCTCTCTCTGTCTCTCTCTCTCTCTCGGTCTCGTTCATGGCAAAATGGATCTGGGGATGACAATGTCTCCGATGTTGTTGTGCCATGGGTCAGCCAGGTGGGTTGCCAAGTTCTCCAATGGCCCGGTTCCAGGGTACGCCGACTGCTGCACGCAGAAGCCCACGAAGGCCAGCAAAGCGAGACGACCTGCGAACGAACAGACGGAGAGAGGACCAATTAGTGCTGTGAGCCATGAAAGGACGCATGCGATGAATGGAGAGTGGAAGAGGAAGGAGGGCGAACCGTTCTTGATCTCCTTGACCTTGTACTCCTCGAACTTGACGGGGTCTTTGGAGTAGCCCAGCGGGTCGAAGGCTCCGCCGGGGTACTTCTTCTTCTCGGGGTCCTTCTCCATGCTGCGCTGGTGCTCCACGAAGGCAATGGCGAAGAACTCGATGACGAGGATGGTGGGGAGAGTGCCCCAGGGGACTGGGTTGCCTAGGTACGTCGCCTGCCCGCCGGGGATCGCCGCCCACTCCTGCGCCTTCACCCAGTTGCCCAGGCCCAGTGCTTCCGGCACCAAGATCCCTGGCTGAAGAACCACAGTGCGTGTGACGGCCATTCACAGTTAAAGCGATTGCACGAGCACAGAAGAGAGAGAGAGAGAGAGATTACCACAGCAAGCATCGCCCATCTGCAGTGGATCAGCTCCGACTCCTTGTACCTCTCCAGGTTCTCCGGAACTTCCCCGAGGCGAAGCGGATCGAACCCGAAGTCACTGAAAGCGTCCAAGGCAGAACACAGATGTCATCACCAATCTCGAGCATCAAGCGTTGGACATGCAGTGCTTACCCGGGGGCGGAGCCGTCGAGGTACGGGGGACGTGGTTGGCCGGGCATCCAGTCGGCGGACATGGAGAAACGGGACGCGCCGTTGGTGCATGAGATGGCGACCGAGCTAACGAACTGCGACTTGGAAGACGAGAGGAGGCTCGGGAAGAGGACGGCGCAGCTTCTCAAAGCACTGGATGCCATTTTTTCGCCTCACTCTTCCTTCTCCGCTGCTCCTGCTGTTATCGAAGAGATATGAAATAGCCGAACAGGACGTGGAGCTGATAAAAGCACAGCCCCTCAGGGGGACAGGGATCTGAACTGGATAAGGGGCGAATCCTAATCCAGACTCCTATTGGCTGCTCCATCTCCTTGGCCGCAGACCACTGGACCAACTGTAAGCTCGCAATCCAATGGACTTATTACAGTCACCTATAGGAATCAAGGTGCCGTTTTGCGGCTGAGATTTAAGAGCAGTGGCACAAGAAAATATCTTCTCTTCCTTTCTCTTGGACCCCATGTTTAGCACTTGGATTATGGAACCCTTTTTTCTTGTCTCAACAAAACAACCTTTTTCGCTTTCACATAGCAAAGATAGTACAATCTGTTTGCAATAGGATAACTACAGGAAAGATATGACAGTAACATAGAGAGTAAAGGATTTCTGTTCCTCGAGTAATGAAGGTAGCATTGGGCATCATCATATCATAGAAAGGTCACCATACTGCAGCCAACAACAATTTGGAGATCATGCGAAAGCAGAATATGTAATTTTAGCATCAAAAGTTGCCACACAGCTTAAAGAAAACCTTGCTAGTAAAGATAGAAAATTGTCCATCTAGGATAGTATACAGGTTATCAAATACAAACTAAATGCAATTTTTTCATATAGCACTTAGTTTGCCATAGTAAATACACAAGTAGACAATATTGTAGTAAAAGGCTAGCAAAACATACCACAATTCTACCCGCCCAAATCCCCATCATGGATGTGAGCGCGGAACCGGAGCTGACCATCACATTCTAGAAAATAATATCAGTAAATCAGATACATTATTCCAACACAGGGAAACCAGAAGACCGAACCAGAAGGTGAACATATGTCAAGCACGTATATCTGATTCATATTATGTCGAGCACTCTGCCCTGAAATAGTACTTTCCATGGTAGTTATGCTTCCTGATGCCTGTTGAACTGGTCGCCAGTATTGCCATTAGACTCCCTCCATGAACCCTCCCTTCTGGAAGGGAAACCAACCGACACTGAGTAAGTGGAGAGTGCATCTCTGTCTCTGATGAACAGAAGCCAAAGACCCTCTTCCCTCCGTCGACAGCAACATCTTTCATCTTCTCAGATCTAATGGACGCCGGATACTTGGTAGGAGAAATTTCAATGGTGCCGCCACCACGAACACAATGATCTTGCACTAGGGCGTCGTGACCAGCACAGAGACCAGCTTTCGTCCTGGAAAACCTATCACAAGGTGCATCACCAGTGCCAAACTTTGAGCCTGCTTGATCCCACGCGCACCGTTTGCCGCCTCCATGTGCCTTGCAAAAATCAGTGTTTCCCTGAGCACTTTTTCTGCAATCCATGGACTTGCATCGTTTGCCCCCTCCATGGCGCACACAAAAGCTAGTGCGTCCTCTAGCACTCTTGGTGCACCCAAGAATAGCGCACCTCTTCCCACCACCATGGGCAACACAGAATAAGGTCCCACCATGCACACTCTTCGGGCAGACACCTCCACCCTGAAATGAGCAGCGCTTTCCTCCACCATGCCCCTTGCAGAAGGGAGTGCTCCCTTCAGCTCCCTTGGTGCACCCCGAAAATGAACACCGTTTCCCCCCACCATGTGCCTTGCAGAACAGTGTACTCCCCTGTGCACCCTTTGAGCATGCTGGAAATTGACAGCGCCTGCCACCACCATGAGAGATGCAGAGTCTGGAATAACCTTCTGCACTTTTGGTGCAATTCTCCCTCTGGCACCTCTTCCCACCTCCGTGTCTGATGCATAAACCAGATTTATCTCTTGCAGCTCGGCTGCAACCGTCATGGCCGCAACGTCGGCCACCACCATGGGCAATGCAATAATCAGTGCGGCCTTCAGCACTCTTAGTGCAGCCAAGGTGTTCGCATCGGCGACCACCCCCATGCGCTTTGCAAAAGATGGTTCTCCCTTCAGCACCCTTTTGACAGCCTGGTTTTTGGCACCTCCGTCCCCCACCATGGGCTATGCATAGACCAGAGGCACCTCTTGCTCTTTTAACACAACCTTGGAACTGACAGTTTTTCATGTTACTGTTGTGATGCTGTGAACACACATCTGTGGAAGTGCAAACGACTGGGCTTTTCACTGTTTGTGCCATGGTTGAGGGGGGTTCTGGCACAACAGCAACCGGATCAACTTCTATTTGAATTTTCTTACTTGAAGTAAAATCACCATTTGTCTCTGAATTGTGCGAAGAAGGTTCCAGACAACTGTTGACTATCCAGGAAGATGATGCAGTCCCTTCTTCATCAGTGGTTGGCACTGAACTTACCATTTCTGAAGTCTCCAAGCTACCCTGGTGTTGGGACAGGATGGGCTTGATACTGGTCATAACCGATTCAGATGGCCCAACTGATAGACTTAACTCGAGGTCAATCACATTTTCAGTATGAGAAGCATTGACTGTAGCAAACAAGGAATTGGAAGGATTCGATTTTTTCACATTCCGAACATTTGGCTGAAAATCCAGTCCTAACTCAATGGAGTGTTCATCAGTTTCGCCTGTTGAAGTCTTGCAAAGAATTATTGAGCTCGCCTTGCTATCTGAAGGATTTAATGACTGCCCTAACCCAAGAGCAAGTAGGGGATGCTCTGAACCCTTATTACCATTCATATAACCCCACATCCTTTTTGCCCCTTTTATTTTGGAGCTGTAAAGAGAAGAAGAACTAGGGGAGTTAAGTCGTAATGTCACATCAGTGCTATCTTCTCTTAACTGAACCCTGCTAGGGAAGTCACAAGTACTTAAAGTGAATAGGTTTGCAGCAGAGCCAAGATTCAGATAGCCATTATCCATTATTGTCAAGAGACTTCTTAAATCCACCAATTCTGATTGGGAAAAAACAACTTAAGTCCAACTTCTGGAATTAAATGATGACAATGTTAATGTTAGTTACTAAAATGAGATCCTTCAGCCTCCACTAACAAATCCTGATGTATCACAACGGTCCATTTCGGAGAACTCGAAAGATATAATAGAATCAGCCGGTAAAGTGAGGATCAAATGAACAATGAAAAGTAGTCAACCATGTCATCAGACAAAAGCATAATGTCCAAGAATTCCTGAAACAAAAGAACCATACAAAAGGGCATGTTAACAGCATTTAAGAAACCGTGATATACCAATGGGTATTCTCATGGAAATTCAACATTGTGATCCAGAATTTTCAAAATTTGAAGAGTGGAGGCAGTACTGATGATGATGCTAAGAAACAAGGATATGTTTTGCCAAATAAGCTAAAAAGGGAGCAAGATGGAAGGATTTTATCACACATGTCCAAAGTTCTTCAAGAAGAAATTCAAAGTTACTACAAATTCAACATTTCCTCTAAACTAACTTGACAGAACAAGCATTTACAGAACAAAACTACACACCTAAAGCTTTTCATGTTATCACAACCAGTCCAGCCTATGCATGCCACTCAAATTGTTCGATAACATGTTTCCATTTTACAAGGAAGCAGAAACCATATCTTGCAAATCATCAAATTGTATCTGTGTATTTTAAAATAATTCAAATACACTTACAGATATGCCAAATACACTATCATCTAGAAACTGAACCACTTTGTACGGGCACAAAGGGAAAAAATCTAAACTCATGCAAGAAGGGACACATACATATCTGACAGCTATTTGAAAAATCTAATAGATCAAACAATATTAATTATCATAGCTTCAATCTAAGCTAAAGAAAAAGAAATTCAATTAACATATACAGACCAACTTTTTTAAAATCATCATGAGCAATTAAGCATTGATTTCCAAGTTCCAACCAATGGATCTTATGAGGAATTTTAAGCATTCCAAGCCGATAAAAAATGACATATGACAGGTAACAAGCTAAACCAAAGCTGAATCAAGGCACAAATTTATTATTACTAAAAGATGTAAGCTGCTGAACATCAACAAATGATGAGATGGCATAGTACTAAAAGAAGACAAGAGGTAATGACACAGAACAGCCAACCCAAGACAAACTTGATCAGAAAACCATCCATATAAGTATAATTCTGATATCTGGTTAAGCAGATTGCAGGTATCAATTAAAGAACCAGAAAAAAAGCATATAAAGATAACAGATTCGCTGCTAAATTTCATTATATATATATATATATAAAAGAAATATATTGAATCAATTCATCTTATGCGAAAAAATTGGCAGCAAAGCAACTAAGAGAGCACCTGATCTATCAAGTACTTGTACAATCCATATACCCAAAAGAACTCAAGTTATTAAATGTTTACGTATTACTACTTGACTCTGTGTTTCACCGCTTCACTACTTTACCCTTTTTGATAGGTGCTGATGGATTCTAGTGCAGCATGGACCCTCCAAATTCACAAGAGACACGATCAACTAAACTGAGAAAAGAAATAGTTAGCAACATATAGAGACAATTGAAGGGTGTCATATCTGAACGACGCATACCGTGAGAAACAAACCAAAAGAATCTAACAAAGCAACAAGGAGATCACACTCAACAATAACAACGATCGTGAAATGCCGGGAACAATGGAATCTCAAGTAAACCGAAGCACGATCAACTGCGAGAGGTCGCTGATTCATGCATCCAAACAATACATTCAAGAGGAACCTAGCAAAAAAATCGTACCCAAAATCGAAAGAGACTATGAATAGAATTTGTTCGCGAAAAATAGAGTTCGGACAAAGAAACTCCCAATAGACAAGAATTAGTACAATCTAGGGGAAATCTACGAGCAAAGATAGTGATTTCAACCAAGATGAAAGAAGCGAAGCTCGCCTTGGTCGCGAAGGACAAGAGAAGCGCAGAACGCCGACGGGGCGAGAGATCCGACGAGGGCTAGGGTTGTCGATGTGAGGAGAGGGGGGAGCGACAGCGCGGGGCGTACAATAATGAGGAGGAAAGCAAGTATATGCGAACGAGGAAACCTCGAGTGCGAGAGAACCGAGGCGGTCGTTACTTGGAGCTGCGACTTAAACCTAGACTTACGTCGTCACCGACATGCGCGATCTGGACGTGCGCCACGTTTCTACTCGTATCTCAAATCGTTACGAGAGTAACTGAGTCGATTGGCGCACCAGGGCACGTCAGCACTTTCTCTTGGGTTTCCACCTCCGCAGCGGCGCGCCACCGTCCATGTTGCGCTGCTGCGGGTCCCACGTCGAAGGAACCCGCGTCCCAACTTTTTCCTTTTTTAATAATAATAATAATAATTATTATTATTATTATTATTATTATTCCTCTGGATATTTCTCAACTCGCACTCATTTTGATTTTTCTCAAATGGTACACTTAATTTTAAAATAACTTTTATTTTTTATTTCTTTTACTAATTTTAAACTATCATAGTATTTTCATATATTTATTAAAATAGTATAAAATTATAAATACTATTAAAAACATTGCAAATGACACCTGTCTATCATTACTTGTAGACCACTATAATATAATATTTTTATGCTTCTAGTTAGTTTAATCGTATTAAAAATATATTTGAATCGCTTACAATATTATTGGGTAAGTTTTATATTATTTTAATTTTTAATTCTATTTAGGTGATATTATTCATAAATTATCGAATAATTTTTAGTATGTTTTGATTTTATTTGATTTATTTATAATGTTTTAAAGTATATTTTATAAATATATATATATATATATATGATAGATAAAATACTGCAACACTATAACAAACCAAAATATTAATTATAACAGAATAAAAAATAATTTAAATATTTTTAAAATTAAAAGAAAATACTATCTAAGAAAATCAAAAGAGGAAATCCTGTTTGAAAATATCCAAAAATGAAATATTATTTTGCTTTTAAAGATGGCGTGTTCTCCAAATCAAATATTATCTGGCTCACGTTTGCTGCCTCGTGCGCTACGCCGCAGGCACATGTGACTCACGTTTGACCCAACCCGAGGAAAAGAAATCCAAGGATAAGTTTTCCCATGCAGCCACGTAGATGAGGGCTGACTGGGCAGTTGACTTACCCATCTCCTAAACTGACATGGCGTTGACGTATGTGACCGCTTCAAAGAATCTAAATATCAAAATGATGTTACATTTACCGAATTTGATCGCAAAAGTGAAAAGGGAATCGAGTGCTTTCCATTCCCAACGTTCGATTGGAATTTGAAACATTAGGATTATAATTTTAATTGTCTGTGATCACCTTTCACTACGGTGTTGATAAGACGTATTTTGAGCCCAAGACACGTCACAGTCGATGTCACACGCCAAATCAGAATCCGTACCGAAACACTATTCAATATGTCCCATCCTGAGAGCTCGGGGCAGTGCCGTCTAACGTCGCTCCGCATGTCCCGAGACGTCGACCAGTCAGAAGTGTCGTCCCATCTCTCGAGGATCAGCGGTCACGTTGAACCCGCGTACAATCGACCCTCGTATAATAGTATAAAAATCTCTTACCAGCATCCGGCTAGGAGGAGGGTAAAAAAAAAAGCAATTCAACCCACTACAGACTTGCTCGTCGGAGGGGCCAAAGTTGGGGATCACCCGACAAGGGCCATTTTTATAGGCGAACGATCACCCACGAGGTGCGAGCGTCTCAACCTAAGGGTCGCCATCCAACGCGCAAGGGCGAGCTGCCAACCGGCCCAGAGACCAACAAAAGTCGATAAGCACCCCTATCCGAGGGCACGGCCACCTCGTTATCCAGCTCAATCAATAGAAGACTCCCGACATCGATTCGTAGATCAAGCCGTACTAACTCATTAGCCACGGTACATTTGTTCACCAACATATGTGATTAGACCCGACTCGTGCATTAAGAGTACCGATATCTTCTTATATTACAGTGTAATAAGTTATATCAAGGAATATTAGTGTATTTGAAAAGGCAAAAATATGATTTAATAGGTAAAAACTCAAAAAAAAAAAGAAGAAATAATTGAACATCTTAGTAAGAAGCGGGGTCAAAGTTCGACTAAGATATTTTGCTTCGATGTAACATGTACAAGGAGTTGTAATCTTATATGTGATGGAAAGTTGTAGCATATTCCCTGAATAGAACTTTTAAGTACTCGCAATTCTTCGAATGGCTAATAGGCACCATCAATCTTTACCTTTCCATTAATAAAAGAAATGTTCGGCATATGCTCTCGAGATGAGCATAATAATTTTATGGCCTTTTTGACCGGAATTTCTACGGAACATGATAACATAAACATGAGATGTGATCTACTTGGAAATATACGTAGCGTTGCATATGGGACATATAATCTTAATGTAATAATAAGGATTATAATTAGATTAGCTTAGTGGAAGATTTGTTTTTTCTTCCAATCTTTCTCTTTTGTAAGAATAAATTAAAGCTTTTGGATAGGAGTTGTCAAACTAAATCTAAATCGAATCGATTCAATTCAAATTGATTCATCAATAGTTCAAAAAGCTATAGATGTATCTCGATGAGGGGTTCAAATTATGTGATTAGGGACCAGTGTGCACAGTAAACTTGTTTTGTGCTGTTAATCCTAATTCTAATCCTTCATTTGATGGTGGATATTTTTGTAATTTAGTTCAAACGGTAGATCAACTCTTTTGACCGTTAAAAGCTAACGAGAACCCGGCCGTTGACCTTGACTTCCCGGCGGCGCACGATCCCCCCTTCTCTCTCTCTCTCTCGAACGACAGCCCGGCCGTTGACCTTTGTGTTCGCGGCGGCGCACGCTTCCTTCTCTCTATTTCTCTCTCTCGATCTCCATCGAAGGAGACTCCGGTCTCTCCATCTCCTCCCTGAACTCTGCAGCTCTCGGTAGAAGGTGGAACGGTTGGATCGGGGGGGATCGGCGGTGGCGTGTGGCGGAATTGTTGGCTGAGGAGGGGCGTCATGGATCCCACCGATTTCTCCCGCCCCCCGGCGGGCGATGGCGACTGCAATTTCGAGTTCGTCTCCCACTCGAGCAATTTCTCTGACCGCCCGCTTCGCATTGAGATCGTCGCGGGGCCGCCGAAGGGCAGGCCGGATGGCGAGGGCGATTCCGAGTGGGACAGGCATCGGAAGCGCCGGAGGGACGCGATCGAGAAACGGAAAGGTTAGCTCCGTCCGTCTTTAGCCCTCCTCCGTCCATACTGTTCTCAGTAGGTTTTGGTTCCGGTGATTGCCGCTCTGTTTTAATCATCCATTGCCTCCGTTGCGACCTCTGCTTAGGGTTTCGGATGTGAAGGTGTGGATGAGGGATTAAGCCCGATCTTGCAGTGGTTCATAAGATAGAATCTGATTCTTTTTGCTTGGAAAGGATCATTCAAACATAGATGAATCAAAATTTGAACAAAAGAATAGTTTGCTGTTTGATAAGCACTTTTAGTCTTACATGGTTGCAGGGTAGGGAAATCAAGACCTCATAATCACCGGCATCACCCTTTTGGGTTCACCCGGAAAGGGCAAAATTATACGGGCTCACTCAAAATGGATAATTTTCGGCTCACCGAAAGCAAACAATTTCCGCAAAACATTAGCAATTTTACTATATGAACAAAACCCAAAACCCATCAACCTCAATAAATTGATACTGTTTCTTGATGCATCATTTACTTTTTCTTTTTCTTGAAGTGTCAACATATATAAAGAACATACTGCAAGTAGACATATATGAGATTGCATACATGTTGTATCAGAAATTGTATGAGAGCTATGCAGAGTCATGCATTCCCAAAATGTTTGGTGTTTATGAATGGCTCATTACGAAGAAGATCATTTGTTGAGTATGTTTGTGTCACACTTATATTTTTGTTCTCGGATTCCTTTGATGAAGATATATGTCTAGAAGCATCGCAGTTAGCGATTTGAATACTGTTTTGAACTGCAACCTGCCTGATTCTGAGGGTTGGTATGCCAGATGAACAAGAGGGGGAAGCTGTAGCGATGACTGAAGAGTCTCCATCAGGTATTAGTCAAGTTTAAACTGAAATTATTCTTGTTTACAGATGTTCCCTAAAATTAAATTATAAGATACTACAAACTTACTGTGGGAATTCTGATATCCTATAACCTTTTATGTCTACCAGCTGATTGCCTCTGAGAATTCTTATTGATTTCTACCTGTGAGATTTCATAGAAAACAAACATTTTTTATTACCAGATGTCTTACATGTTATGCAATTCAGGCAGCCAACATGCTTAATGCAAAAGTTATGAAACATGCATGGTTTGTGTTTCTGCCAGTTTTATTTTCTCTTTGACTGAGAATAAAGTATTAAGCTGTCGCAACTTGTAGAAAGCCGACTCAGAAGTTTGATGTTGCTCTCAAATTAAATAGCACTAATATTTGGAGGACTTACGTAGCTCTAAGTAGTAATGGACTTTGATCAGTTGTTGTAGCAAATTATGTCACACCTTAAGGATCACTTCCTCCCTTAGAGACCTCATGAAAGAGCCCATTCCTCATGCTTCAGAATCATAAGAGTGATCTTTCTTTCTTCTTCTTCTTTTTTTGTGTGTGTAGATTTCTCATAACAAACTATTCTAATATCTGAGTTGGATAACTACTTTTCGCTTTGTAGGAGATGAGCCTTCACGACACAGGGGTTCTTCTTGGAGTATGGATTCTCCTCCTGTAATTAGCATAAAATCTCTATCTGTAAGTTCCACAATATTATCCGCAAAAAGTCCGTTTTTCTACAAGGTAAGATGCGAAACAAACATAGCCGACACAGTGCTCCACCAAAATTTTTGACTAATTTTCTGTTGAATGTTATAGCTTTTCTCAAATGGAATGCAAGAATCGGATCAGCAGCATGCTACATTGCGGATAGATGCCTCGGGTACTTTCCAAAATTTACTGTCATACTCATTTTTCTCGTTTCTGTTTTTCTGTTCATCCTAGCTTAATATATATAGTGGCCATGATTTGATCGTCTTCTTAATCTGAAATCAATCATTTTCAGAATGAGCCTTGCGAGAAAGAATGAAACTACTAATAGATTGGGGAAATCTGTTGGTAAAGGAAGAAGAAATCGGGTCGGAGGTGGAAATTGAGGTCACTGATTATATAAGAAAATCCGAAAGCATCCATGAATCTCAAGCACAACTAGTCAATCCTGTCTGAACAAATGGAGAACGTAATAAATAAAAGAAGAGATAGTTAGTGTCAATAGACAAGCACAATTAGTGTCTCTTAGAGGATTTGCTCAAGGATGAAGTACGACGGCTATCGCTTCCTACGGTCTTAAGCTTAATTGTTAGTTCAAATATTCAGATACAGTTTTGAAATGAATGTTCATACATATTATATGTCAACATGTTTGCTCAGTTCATGGAAACACCTGACAACATTCCTCTTTCATGCAACAGAGGAAGCTGCTCTAATGGAACTTCTCAGCTTTATGTACAGTGGCAAGTTGTCGACCACCTCACCGACCCTTCTGCTGGATGTGCTAATGGTCGCAGACAAGTTCGAGGTGGTTTCTTGCATGAGGCACTGCTGTCAGTTGCTGAAGAGCTTGCCGATGTCTCAGGAGTCTGCACTACTCTACTTGGAGCTTCCTTCCAGCATTTCAATGGCGTCGGCTCTTCAGCCATTAACCGAGGCAGCAAAGGAATTCCTCGTGAACAGTTTCAAGGATCTAACAAAGTAAGTAACCGTTGCCCTGCCTCGACTTCGATCCATGCCAGCTTTAGCAATGCAGTCACTCTCCTTCCAGGAACCAAGATGGACTCATGGAGCTACCTCTTGTCGGCATGGAGGCAGTCCTCTCCAGTGACGATGTCCAAGTTGCATCGGAGGATGCACTGTACGACTTGGTGCTAAAGTGGGCTCGTCGGCACCACCCCAAGTTGGAGGAACGGCAGGAGGTCTTCGGCGCGCGCCTCGGTCGGCTCATCCGGTTCCCTTACATGTCTTCCCGGAAACTGAGGAAGGTTCTGACGCACAATGATTTGGATCAAGAATTCACCAACAAGGCTGTGCTTGAGGCACTATTCTTCAAGGTCGAGCCTGCTCACCGGCGACAGGCTCTTGCCACGGATGACGTGACCAACAGAAGGTTCGTAGAGCGAGCCTACAAGTACCGGCCGGTGAAGGTGGTGGAGTTTGAGCTCCCAAACACTCAATGCATTGTCTACTTGGATCTGAAACGGGAGGAGTGTGCACATCTTTTCCCCTCGGGGCGGGTCTACTCGCAAGCTTTCTACATCGGTGGGCAGGGTTTCTTCCTCTCGGCTCACTGCAACAGGGACGTACACAACTCTTGCCACTGCTTTGGCCTCTTCTTGGGGATGCAAGAGAAGGGATCGGTTAGCTTCACGGTAGACTATGAGTTTTCTGCGAGGACCATGCCATCTGGGCAATTCGACAGCAAATACAAAGAAAAGTACACCTTTGCAGGGGGTAAGGCTGTTGGATACAGGAACCTTTTTGCCCTTCCATGGACATCATTCATGGCTGACGACAGTCCCTACTTCATCAATGGTGTTCTTCACCTGAGAGCGGAATTGACCATCGAATGATACATTCTCAGCAGCAGCAGCAGCTCAATAGAAATAAGTTTGTCATTCTATCGGATAGTGTTAGAACATATGTAAGTTAGGTGGTGGAGAGTTTGGTGTCAAAACAATAAAGAAAGTGTAAGAATAAACCGAGGCAAAGTGGAACGACTTACACTGAAACATAGCTCGATAAGTTGGCAAATTGTATTTGTATCTAATCGCATAAATTTACTTAATCAAAGGCAGTAACGATGGAATATAAGAGAGGCAGAGAAGGAAAAATATTTGTAGGTGAGGCATTACGGCATACAAACAGTTGCTGCTCATTGGAAAATATCTGTTAAAATTATTATTATTATTATTCTTTTTCTTTATGGTGAAGTCAGCCAAGTATGATCTTTGAAATCCGCTGTTCGTTTATCTGTATTCGATTTCGACCTATTTTCGAATCAAGTCTTTCACAACTATCAAGAGCTTAAGAAAGAAACGACACAAAGTTTGATTGGCTTTATCATCTATATCTTACTAAACCAAACATATAAGTAGAGCCTACAACATACCTGCACAATCCTCATACACATAAGCAACTATGAGAAGAATCATATTCTTCTTAAATGCTCTTAAAAGTCTACTGTATCCATAGAATCAAAAAGGCAGTTGGATGGCACCTTAATTTTCGTCGTGTCTTTATCAAGCATAATCAGCATTACAAACTGGGATCGCGAGCTCACTAGGAATCCGTGGCTCGGATGCTAGAAGCAGAAGTATGGGACCAGTATTCTTTGACAAGCTCCCCTAGTAGAGATCCTTTGGTCTTCATCAATTTCAGTGGGCAGTCATACTCCGCAACTTTTCCTTGACAGAAATACGGCAGTTTTGGATCAGATGATCGGTTGACTGATCGATAAGAATAAATTACATGAAAAAAGATTTGAAGACTTAAGTATGTTGGCATAAAGGACCTAGTTTCATGGATGTGGAGTAGAGGATATTGGTGTCTTATGATGAAACTACAATGAATTCGATAGTTTTAAAGCATCGTCAAGCATTGGCTATGTTATATGAAGTTTGCTAGGATAAAGAGTTGGAACCTACCTTCACTAATAGCAAGCACCATCGTGCAATCCACCACGGTTAGGATTCTATGAGCCACAGTAATCACAGTGCAATCTGCAAATTCTCTTCTGATGGTCTTTTGAAGGATCGCATCTGTGGCATTGTCAATTGATGCTGTGGCTTCATCAAGAACTAATATACGACTTCTGCGTAATAATGCTCTTCCCAAACAAAACAACTGCCGTTGTCCCATGCTCCAATTAGATCCATCTTCAACAACTGCTTAAAATGGTTTTTAGAACAGCTTTATGTTTACTAGTGGAAGTTTCCAGGTAAGACGGTACCAAAAAAACATTAAATACAGAGAAAAACTGAATGAATATAATGCAGCGAAAAGACTGTTACCTAGTGAATCCAGGCCATGTTCTTTCTCTTGAACAACTTCTCGTAGCTGACATTTATCAAGGACCTTTCAAGCATGCAAGAAGATTGCATCCAGTCAGCAGTGAAGGTAGAACATCAAAGAGGATGACTACACAAAAATCTCTATAGATGTTCTCAAACATTTTTTTTTCACTAGACTGAGTCTTCCATTGCTTGAAGATCAAACTCCGGCCTCTCTGGTAAATGGATAAGAATAAATGGGAGAAACAAAAATGGCCGAAACTAAATAAGGGTGACTCTAATGGTGTTGGGTTTGGTCACTCCTTACATGTATAAAATTTATATTAGACCTCTAAAAGTTCTATCTTGCAGCCTCCTTATATGTATGAAATCTATGTAGAATTTAGGAGTTCCATTTGCAAATCATCTCTAATAGACTTTACGAGTTCTATCTTGCAAATCATCTCTCAAAGAAGCTAAATGGTTTCTGTAGCTGACCTGCAAAAGTTGACCTATACTGATCCCATGCATTAGTTTTCTCCTTCACTACCAAATGTTCATCTCAGACAAGTATGGGTGTTTACTGTTTTATAGTCTTCGATTGTAGGTATATTCATGTGCATCTACTACGGAAGGACTGTTAACTATGGCCCTTCTGTTCTGTCCCTTTTGTACTCTTGCAATATCCCGATGCTTATAAAATGTTAATTTCTTGGGTGTTCCCATTACACCTCCCAGGAAAAAAGGATTATACTTGTAGTGACATCTTATGACATCACCAATTAGAGAAAATAAAACATTGGCTTCATCATGTAAAATGGATTATATATTACAATCAGGAGAACCAGCCTGGAATTCAGTTGCACATATAGCCAAACCAAATCCAACTCATTTCTATTTTATGGCAGCAAAGTTGCTACAGAAATAAATTTGTTCAATGTTTGCAGAATTTAAGAGCTGAGTTATCCTCATTTATGTGAAACCATAAAGAGAGATTTATTACCTCCCATATTTGCTGATCAGTGTATTGACTCAAAGGATCCAAGTTATATCTAACTGAGCCATGGAATAGTGTTGGATCTTGAGGTATGACAGCAAATCGGGACCTTAGATCATGAAGCCCAATTGTGACAATGTCAATGTCATCTATAATGATTTTTCCTCCAGCTGGCTCAACAATTCGAAATAGTGCACCTATTAGAGTTGATTTCCCACTTCCAGTTCGGCCAACTATCCCAATTTTGTGTCCTCCCTCAAATGTGCAATTGATCCCTTTAAGTATAAGGGGAGTATCTGGTCGATACCTGATCTGTTTCACATGAAATTTTGTAAGCATGAGAGAATACATGCAATGTCCACAACATTCAAAATAGAACAAGAGGCACTTTGCCATTATTTACCTTCAGATCCTGAAGCACAACTCTACCAAGAACAGGCCAATTTGGTGGAGGCCGGTTGCCTTCAACAATTTCAGAGGCTTCCCTGGTGATGTGCATATACTGATTCAGCCTTTCTACAGAGACGATATTATTTGCAAGTATGCACTGATTTTGACTAGCAAAAACAAGGGACATATTTAATGAAAACCCATAAGATAGTGCCATGCCAACAAATCCTGCACCAAAAAGTCAATACAGTTAATCTACCAAAAATCAATGTATAAATATATGAAACTCAAGAACTAACCAAAGTGTTTAATAAACTTTTAAATAGCAAGCATAAACCTTTAAACTGGCAGTTATACATGTTACAATGTGCTTTCTTTCAAAAAAAGAAAAAGTAAGATAGATGTGTATCATATGAAGTGAATGTTAATTTTAGAAGAAAATTACCCTAAGACCGACCCTCCTAGACTCCACATCATTGGAAGCCTCATTCACTGCACCATCCATCAAAGTTCATGCTGCAACTAGAAATTGTTGTAATTAGAGTGGGTTGTTAAGTGTTCATGGTTCTACCTCCACATAACTTGGTTCTGAACAAAAAAGGCCAACAGCCAATCAAGTTCAAGAAATTTTGTTTGAGAATATGCTCTGATTATTTATGATGCTTCTAACAAACAGAAAATGTTATAGAATTACCTGTGAATGGTTGAATAATCACCATTTATGAGTTTGTCAACATCAAGGACAAACTTGAAGTCATTCAAGGGTTAAGGATCAAAGCATCTCACGGAGGTTAATATTCTAAAATTTAGTTCTTAGATTTTGTTTTTGTCTGCAAAGACTTGACAATGGATACAACATGGATGCAAAGAGGAAGATGCTACTCTTTACCTTGCTCATAGAGCTTCAGTGAAACTAGTTTCTTGTGTCTATCATTTTGTTTCTATATTGCTAACTGATTAATGAAACAAAACTACATTAGTGTGCCTAGCAAAGAAGAGGCAAAAGCTCCATTGCCCAAAAAAGTTGAACACAGGGGTTGTCCTTGTACAACTAACCTGAGCTAAAAGTTCCTGCAGGAAGCAAAGCCATTAAAAGAGCTGAAGTTGAAAGAACAACAGCGCCCATGGTCTCCAAACGCTGGATCAACCACTCACTAGCTGAAAAATTATGGAAAAATGGGCTAGCGTTTCTGTCAACAAGCTTCAAAAACATAGTAAAGAAACGGTCTTCTTCCTCATAAGCTCTTATAATTATTGCCCCTGATATAGATTCAGCTAGGTGGTTTGCAACAAGAGACTTGGTGGTTCCATTGATCCGCATCAACTCCTTTGCAGATGCCAAGTAGTATCCCTAGTTTCAGAATTCAGAGGTAGTTTGACAATGATTCCTTTAAAAAATAGTAAACAAAAAATAATATAGAATTCCAACATAACTACCTGAAGGTCCTTTTTACCTGCAAACGAATGGTCAAATAAATCATTGGTATAGAGACAAATAGCACTTGCCAAGTGACAGCAATCAGCACCCCAAGGTTGCAGTAAATGTTGATACTAGCACTGATACTAAAAATTAAACTAAAAGGAACATCAATGTCGACTATGCTCGTATCGGCAGAGACCTGAGGAGAAGTTGATTTAAGAAAACAAATCTAACCAAAGGCAAAAAATTTCCAGAATTTGATAACTACAGATAAATTTTAGATATTCTTACCCTAGTTAATATCCGTCCTAGAGGAGTGGAGTCGAAAAATGACATCGGAGCATGCAATAGCGAGTTAAGCAGTTGAATAAATAGGGATTTTGATGACTGCAGACCCAAGATAACAATAAACACGGATCTAGATAATAAGAACAGTGCAGTGCTACACCCAATTGCCAAGTAAACCATAATCAATCGCAATGTGCTCACTTGAGGATTTTGAACATTGGCAGCCATCCATGAGTTCTGAGAGATCTGCCCAGCCATAAAGATCAGATGAGAAAGAGCTGCCAGCGAGAAGTACAAGAATCCCTTGTTCTGATTCAAGTACTGCAAATAAGGCTTTAGACCAGTATCACCCTTCTCTCTTTCCTCTTTCTTAATCAATTGATCTTCTCCTGTCAATTTTGCCATGCTTTGCTGTTTAATACTACAACTGAGCTCTCTTCTGACAGTTTCAGCTTCTTTCTGAGAAACAACCTTTTCAAGACTTTCAGGACTAACAATGCCCTTATGTGCATTGGTAAGTTTCTGAAATACTTCGCTGGAAGCCAATAGTTCATGATAAGGAGCAGCATGAAGAATTTTTCCATCTGACATCAGCTGTTGATAACAAAATTATTTTAGTTTTTGAGAAAGAATCATTTATGTTATCGGTAAATATGTCAAAGGATAATTTCATGTATGTTACATATGTATAACTCGAGCAAACTGGTCTTGACACAGAACAAATGCCAATATTTTTTGACAGTAGTGCTTAATATTAATCCAAATAGGGAACAAAATATCTAGAAGATAATTTAAGAAAGAAAAATTTCAACAAAATTACCACTAATAAACTCAGGGCAGTGAGGTGCCCAACAAATGGGCACACACATAAAAAGGGTTTAAAATGTTAAGAACTGGAACAGAACCAACTAAATCCTGAATGTCAATATAAAAGGGATTCACAACCTTCGCTTCATCCATTAAGTAAAATCAAGCTACAAGGTGGTGCTAGGAAGGTTAGCAACAAGATAATGTGAAACAGGATGGTTCTTATTTCCACATTAGAAAAAATGATATAAAGAAAAGAGCAATACTTCAAACAAACAGCACGTATAAATTTTAGATTATACAATGACTGACCAGTATAGGATCAAATGCTTGAAGAAAATCCACTTTATGAGTTACAAGTAGAACTGTCTTTGCTAACAAAGCTCCCATGACATATTCCTGCGTACAGTCAAAGAGAACCTACATATTAATTCCCGAAGCAAAGAAAGAAGAAAACTTATGAATGTGAAAACAACCATAAACTGAATATTACTAGTTTACTACAATAAAAGAAAAACTACATTGAATAAATCGGTAGCGGTTTGGGCATCAACAGCACTGAAAGGATCATCTAAGAGATATATATCAGCATCCTGATACAATGCACGTGCAAGTTGAATGCGCTGCTTCTGACCACCACTAAGATTTACTCCTCTTTCTCCAATTTCAGTAAGATCTCCAAGAGGCAGCATCTCAAAATCCTTGACCAGGGAACATTTCTCTATAGTTTCGTGGTATCGTTGCCTATCCATCACAGAGCCAAAGAGAATATTATCTTGCACACTTCCCGTCTGGATCCATGCATTCTGAGAAACATAGGCAATCTTGCCACAGACTTGAATCTGCCATTCATAAAACAAATTTCATCTGCTAAGGACCTTGATCATCATACAATAAATGTGCATAAAAACCATTATTCTATGTATAATGCAATATCAAACTTTAACATCCACAAGTAAGTGTTTTCAAAACGATGAGCAAAAGAATCCTTCTAAAGGTTTTTGTGGGAAATTTTTTCTATTGGAGGCTTGTGATGCATGAGAACTATGACCGATTAAAACAAAGGAATTTCTAAAGGCTGTGACCTGCTATATTTAAATGATAAATAACAATCTGTTGTCAACGATCATCACAGTTCACAGTGCACAGGCAACATTTTAGCGGGAAACTCAAAAGGTATTGTTCTTCTTCACCAGCCAGACAGAAGAAGGATCGATAAAACGAATTAAAACATACCATCCCTTCGGTATTTGGAATCTCTCCAAGAATAGCTTCCAAAAGAGTTGACTTTCCAGATCCAACCTCACCACAGATTGCTGCCTTTTCTCCAGGTTTGAGCTCTAAGTTGATGTTCTCCAATGTGGGTTTAGATGGATTTCTATCCCAAGAAAAGCTAGCAGACTTAATCATTATTGATTTTTCGAGATTAACATTGCATTTTCTTCTGAGATCCCCATTCTGCAACTCAGTCGCATCAAGAAACTTTCCTATGCGGCCATATGCAACCTCTGCTTGAATAACTGCTCCTATAACATCAGGAATTGATCTGACTGGATCTTGAATGAGTCGCAATGTTGCTACAAATGTGAAGACATTACTTGGATACAGAGGTATCTCAAAAAGATAGCAAGCCAAGAATGTAGCAGCAGAGACTGCTACAGGTGATGACCAAAAGAGGAAGGTATTGTATGCTCTCTGTAGCTGAAATGCTGACAGCCATTTGCACTCTTTGGCCCTTAACCCTTCGATGACCTCCTTGAAATGTGTATCCCAAGCGTAAAGCTTTAATACTTTCATATTTACCAGTGCCTCTGACATAGATTTCAGTCTTTCATCCTGAGCTTCCATAAGCCTCGTTTGAAACTTGTGCTGTAGCTTGGACACTGGAATGTTACAAAGAACAGTAAGCATGATCACAATCATGGAAGAAACCATAGCAAAACCCACAGCATGGTAAAGAATTACTAAAGCAATGCCAAGTTGAATAACTATCGTCCACATTTGATGAAACCAGACTGGGAATTCCCCTACTCTATAGGCATCAACTGTAACATAATTCATTATCTCTCCAGAAGAATGAATCAGCTTAGCAGAGCTTGACAGCCTCAATTGCTTTTGGAAAATAGCTGCTGATAACAGAGATCTCACTTTTAGTCCCAACATTCTGGTGCGGAACTGCCATTGCCTTTGAGATAAAGATTCCAAGAATTTCACCATGAACATTCCTGATGCCAATAAGTAACCTTCATACTGAAAATTTCCCAAACCTGCTGAGACTTTGATAAAGGCATTAAGAAGCACTGGACCAGCTGACATGGTTAGAACCTTGAGCAACGCAAAGAAACCAGAAGAAAAAATTTCTTTCTTATGGCAAGAAACAATTATCCATAAGTAGGACGAAGAGGAGGCTTGGTTATTCTGTTTTTGGTTATTCAGTCTCTCGAGAAACAAAGAGCAGAGGCTTTCTGCTGAATCTAGTTCACCTAGTTGCGGTACATCTTTCTCCTCCAGCGGCTTTTTATAGCCCTGCTTCATCAAAGGGTTTAACCACCAAAATGACACTCTACTGAGGAAGCCAGCATGTGCAAAAGGAGTGATCAATTCCACTGGGTGGCTTGATTTTGCACTATATTTGCTATTCAGTGGTGCATAAATAGACTCCTCGGAACTTTCTTGGTCCTCCTTAGCTTTGGATCCGTTACAGGTGCAAAACAACAAAAGTGTAGTGCCTGGCAATGACAAAAGATTGAGAGCAATTCTTGTCGAAGTGGAATTCTCTACAAGGATGCTCAAGACAGAAGAGATACAAAGAAACCCAGCAAAAGCACTAGCTAATCCTGACCACAGCCTAACAAAGGTGTTTCCTAGATGCTTGGCTCTTATGCTCACTGCCAAGCACATTGCCACCCAGGTAAAACCCTGAGAAAATACCAGTAGCCACCAATGCAAAGGGAAGAAGCCCTCACCCTTCCTTAATTTCTCTTCCAACTTCCATAATCCAAGGCCAATATAGGCCAAACCCAATAAGCCACTAAAGATCAGAGAAGAAATTCGCACTGGGGACAAGCTCCAAAAGGATCTCTCCATTGTACCAACTCCACATGAAACTTTGTGAGCGAAATTTAGGAAGAAAGAGAAGACAAGAAGCACATTGATTAACATGACAAAGAAGTGGTTGACACAAGTGTTTGAGTAGAGAATTCCACCAAGACCACAATTGGCTCCAGCAAGATCTGAACAGATATTTCCCCCACAGAAAGCCATCCGAGCGCCTAAATTAAGTTCAAAATTTTCTCGATCATGAGTAAAAACATGGAAAATCAAAGAAAAACGAGAATTACAAGAAGGAATGATACTTCTTATGGCATCCATTTTGCCTGGAAATGTGAATTCAGTCCCACACTCTTCCTGCTCTATCTCCAAACATTATCAAGCTCCTTTTTCCAGCTATTCATGTAAAAGAAAATCCAGAAAGCTTTGTAAGAAAACATCTAAATCAATCTTGGCAATTTTTGCAAATATTATAGCATTCATCGGGATATGAAGACTTGATCAAAGAAAAAAACAGCATGAAATTCAACATGGTAAGCAATGCAAGTTCTTACTCCCATACCGTCATCTGAATAGTGCTCCTTGTTATGTAGGTGAAATGATTTGCATGTCCAACCAAGGCGCATTCCACTTTGTTGTTCGAGAAGGAAAAATCTGACAACTAAAATTTTACGTAATTATAGGGATGAAGACTGTTATCAAAGCTGACCACAACAGATGCAGGGCTTTGGAGGAAGAACCAGTAAAGAAATAAATTTTTAGCTCTCTTTTCTCTCTTCTTTCTGTTCCTTCTGTCCATGTTCATTTTAATCTCTTGGAATGAAACCTAGGGGTCAGTCCACTTTTGTCCTCAGAGTTATGGGGACGAAGACTCTAGAACCATTATTAACAAGCCTTTGATCATCAAGAATAATACGAACAATCATTTGAAACAAAGAAAACTTGAAAACTGTTAAACAGGGAAAGGTGATAGGCGCTCACCTTTTAGCCTTTGCCTCTGAGACGATGCCGCGGCTGCAACATAGAAGCTGAATCAAAAGAATAGCAGTAGGAGGCGTACAACGGGGTGGAAGGCGCCGCGAAAAAGTCGAGGGGAGGAAAGGAAGTCGCGAAAAGCAAGTTCCTCGTGGAGGCAACCTTAGTTGGCGGGGGAAATCGTGTTCCGCCACCGCTTTCGTACCCGTACTCCATCACAGAGTGACTCCTCGTGGCTCCGCTGGTGGAGGTGGTGGTGGGGGAGGAGGAGGAAAGAATGGTGACCGTACTCGTTCCCTGAGGTGGGCCAATACAGACTCCGCTGCTTCCATGCATTGCGCTCGTTTCGTCTGCTTCTTCCGTCTCCACGGACGAATCCCTTCTACTCATTTCGGACTGCAGCGGATTACGGACGCAACGACAAACCGGTAATCGATAATGTAACCGAAGAAAAGAATATCAATCAAGAACAAACTCGGCATAACCATGGCACACGAGAACCAACCAAGATTTACCTCAAGTCTAGGGTTTCAAGAAGCAGGAGAGCGTAAAACGTGAGTACGGAATCGATTAGGCCGGCGGCGGAGGAATGCACGGTGTCCGGAGTCACCGGTCATTGGATGCTGCGTACTCGAGCGGAGCCGCTGGGCCGGTACGTCGGACTCCACGGGGTCCGGTCGGAACCGACGGAGTCATCGCGAAAGAGCGAGTTGCAACTCGGGACGACTGGCAACACGGAGCGCCGGGTTTTGCCAAGGCGGAGGGCGAGACGAACCTTTCGTTTCGCGGTTTCGATAGCGGTTCAGCGAGACGTGACTCGAGCCATTGTAGCAGCGGGTCAGCTCTGGGCTCGAGCCGGATTGACATTTGGGGACGGCGATGATGCGTCACTTTAACCCACGGAGAGCCTAATAATAATTTTAGATAATAATATATTTGATGATATTATAATAACAAATATCATAAGATAACACAAAAAAATCGGTACCTCAGTATCATAAATCTGTAATATGTTATATGTAATATAAAAAAATTTATGTTAAGATTAAAATCAAATTACATTAGATCGGATTTACAATGCTTGATGTCATATGAAAATGACACCGGACTCTAAATCTAAATATCCTAATAACATTATGTAAGGAAAACTAGACACTCATTCTCCTCGATCCAAATACTATAACTAATATATGTCATCATAATATAATTAATTTTATTATATATCTTATTCATTTATAAAAGATAACATAAGTCGCATCATATTGTATATTGGATTTGATATATCATAATATAATGATTATAACTAAGCTTCAAAGTAATACATAATTAACTTATATAATTAGTATTGATTATGAGAGTAACAATAAAATTAATTATAAAAAATATTTCATGAATATATTTCTCAGAAATTTATAAATTAATATCTGGCTCGCACGATAAACAAAAACTAATTGAAGATTATAATTTTTTTATTTAAATTATAAATTAATAGAATATAAACTAGAAATAAAAAAGATGAAAAATAAATAAATTGCTTCATTACCGATACAACACAATAATATCTAATGAATTTGGACCAAATCAGCCAATGTGGCTAACAAACATCAAATGAATTCTCAAGCTATTCATCAGATACATTATTTGAGCATTCAAAAAAATAAAATATCCTCAATATGCAAGTATTTTAAAGAATGAAATAAAAATAAAGTATTATGATATTTGTCACCTCCTTATCCCCTTGACGATCTCGTTTGTCCTTAATATATATGTTTTGTTCACTATATGATAAATTATTCAACTCTGAAGTGGGTCGAATAAATTTCATAGTGTTACATCTGTAAATAAATTCTTAAAGGGTGTAATATAATTCATTTATAAGTGTAATACCATAAAATTTATCCTACTCGTATCAATCTTTCAACACAACAGATAAATAATATGACATAACTCAATGGTTTTTAAAATTTTTAGTTGATTTGATATATTTTCATGTTGATTATGCAATAAGATAAAATATAATTATAATAAATAATTAATTTACGATTAATTTTATATGATTATAATAATATTTGAATCAAATTCGAATAGATTTATACTTAATAATCCTCAAGAACGACGAAATTTTTTCAACTTAGGGACGTCCTCTAATAAATTCTGAAAAGAAGAGGGTTGATCTTTCATACAAATCAATTAAAGATTATTTTTGTGGGTATATATATATACACACGCGGTAAAATTATCCTCCATTTCAATATTAGTCGTGTGTCTTGTCGTGACTTGTTCTCGTGGTAATTTGACGAATTCCCCTCTCTGGCTGCTGCCTTTTGCTTCACGTTCACGTCGTTGTGGGTCCCCACTCCACCACTATCGTCCACATGCGCTTCCCCGAGCACCACGTCACCTTGTCGGGCTCACCCTCATCACTCCGCCGCTTCTCTATCTCTCTCCCAACAGCAAACACCTCCTCCATCCATCCGCCTTACCAGAACTTGCGATAAAACACCGCCGACGATGGGACCCGCCGATCTCGCCGTGCCGGAATCAGTGGTCCCTGCCGGGGTTCAGACAGCCCGGGCTGCTCAACGATGATGTCCGGTTGTTAAAGAGGTCGCCGACGAGGGACGTGAGTTGAACCACGTCAGATCCTCGATCGCACCACGTCGCGTCAGGACCACCGCGGGCCCACCGCCTCGTCCCACAGCCGTACGTCTCCTCGCCGAGCTGGACCGACGTCACGGCGCACCACGCCGCGTTTCCAAACGGCCAGGACATGGGGCGGGCCAACCAGCAGCCGCCACGTCGCCGCCACCACGTGAACAGGGCGGTGCTCCACGTCGGCCATCGGGCGCGGAAAAGGACAAACGAGAGGTTGCGTCATACGTGGGTGAAGGCGCCGCGAGCTGGCGGATAGAATCCCACCCGTCGATGCCTGACCGCATCGTGGTGGGCCCGGCTCTGCGCCGAGTCACGGCGCCATCCCGTGGGCCAGGCCTGGTTTCGACCTGCCGGGGGCCGCGTGGGGAGATCGCGTTCCTCAAGACTCCCGGAACGATCAGAACCGTCGATTGTGGTCTTCGATGGCTGCGCGGCGTCTAGCCGTGGGCCCCCCGCATTTCTTCGAGTCGGCGGGAGGTGGACACGTGATCCTCGGATCGAGAGGGCAAAGGTTACCCGTTTGCGACGTTGCCCGCTTAATTAACCAATAGGCAAAGAAAGGCCCCACAGCTGCAACTCACGTAATCGACGGTCTGGCGATCACTCTACTAGTCGCAGTGATTCTAACTAACCGTGCTATTCTATCATCATACTTTCACGCAACAAAAAAATGATACCCAGCATCCAAAAATATACATTTACGCAGACAAACCGACCCGAAAACTTCAATCGCGGATCCCACGGGCCATCCAGTAGCACCCACCAACCGCTGGTAAGGTATGGGTCACAGTGGTCCGTTGGCCAAGGTAAATGAGGGGCATTTAAGTCCTAAAAAGATCACATGTACATGTTGCTGTTTCTTTATTCCGATAGGACGCGATCTGGAGATCAATTCATTCCTCTTGGCACCGATACCGACCCACAAATCATCCACCAGCCGTGGGCGACATGCGTGCCCAACGGGACTGATAGAGCCACGTCTGTGAGCCAAAAAAAGAGAGAACGCCGTTCGTCGTGCGCGGCGATGGGTTAAATTAATGCGGGTGGAGGGGACACCACGTCAGCGATACCATGACGAGGATGTTAGCTGGCCGTCATGAGCCGCTACCGCTGGACGCGTAGACGGCTCAGCACGCCGAAACGTGTCCGGTCGTGGTGGCGCGGGGCGGAATAAGCTACGTGCGACGGCCCCCGTCTCCCGCACCAGGAAAAAGGGGGCCCGGAAAACGCACCACGCGGAGGACTCCGTGCGGGGTCCGCCGTTTGTGGCCATGGGAAACGGGTAAGGTGGGCGTCCGTGGAGGCGCCGTGGGCTTCTTACGTGCTCGTCCTGGGCCCCACCAACAAAGAGGGCCACCTTCTTCTGTGCTGGTCCTGGGCCGTGGGCTTCTTAAGCGCAAGCCGTGTGGTTCCAGAGCGCAGTCACCGACTCACCGCTACGGCAATGGGAGGGCAGAGGGACGGTGGAACCCACGGAGGCCGTGCGTGGTCGTTCTGTGGGTTTCGGGATTTGCCGTCAGTGTAAGGCTCCAGCATACCGTGCATCTTCAGTCGACACGTGTATAATGACGTGGCTATCGGCTTGGCGCCGGGTTTCTTTCCCAATTGCCTCCCAGGCCTTCTTCCTCCTCCTCCTCTCTCTCTCTTTCGTCTGTCGTTTCGCTCCACTCTTCTTCGCAGAGCGAGCTCTTTTGCGTGCTTTCTTTACCGGCTAATGGAGGAACAATTGTATTGAAGTCAGGAAAAAGGGTAAGGTTCGGGTGCTCTTATACTTCTTGAGAAGGCGCCTTCTTCTTCTGAGATCCTTTTTACCTCCCCCAGACTTACATGGAACACTTCAGCGTCTTTCCTTAGCCACCTCTTTCTTCTGTGGGTTCTTTCCGGAGGTGAAATCGCGGCGAGTTGGTGGTCATAAGGCTTTGAGGAAGGATCTGGTGCCGCATAGTTGCATGTGCGTGTGTCGATGCCTTATTTTGTTGAAATTTTCTTGGAATCCACGGCGGGGCTTATGGATCGTTTGGGTTTGCACTTTGTTGCCTTTTTGATCGTTTAATGAGCGGAATTTATCATTATCTCTGGTTATGCTATGGGAAATTACCAGAAAAAGTTTTAATTCCTTTTTTTTATTCCCCTCGAAGGGCATCTAATTTGCTCTTTTTCCGCGATCTGATTGAAGATTAGATTTCGATGGATAACATGACAATTTCCGGTAATAATCCCCAGTATCCTTCTCCTTGTTTGGTTTTTTTTGGAGAGGGAGGGTAGATGGGGAAGAAATTAGGTGACGCGAGAAGAAGATGCGGGTAGATAGGGAAGGAGAGAGCGGGCGTCACGGGATGCGTGTTCTTCAGTTGGAGAACAGTACGACGTACGATGCTCGTTCCAGTGATCCAACGACGCAGCAGAGTCAAAAGACTCGCTCCGAGTCGCAGATCGATAGAATGCTATTTTCCTCTCTTTTATCCCCACTAATCAAAAGCTCGTCTTTTTTGTGTTTCTTTGGGTACTTTCGTCCTTTTCGTATCAGAAAGTGATCAGCGACCGTCCAAGATTCGCACTTCGCCCATTTTAGAGGTCTCTTCATGTTTCTTTCTAAGGAAAAGGCCCTTTTGACCTTCGATTCTTTTCTAGAAACGTCTCCGGCTAGATCAGAGTTCCCTTGATTCATCATAAAATTTTTAAAAGAAATTGTTCAGTAATTCCTTCTTTTGTGCGTTCACAAGCTCTCTTACCCGATCTTTGTATATCTTTTCCCCTCTCTGTTGTTCCGTTGATTTGGAGCAAACGGTTTTATCACGTTTGTAGTTTGGAAATTGATATGATGAGAAGTTCGATGATGTAAAGTTGCAAAAATTGAAATGGTTTAGCTTTATTAAATATATCTGTTACACAAATTCGATTGCCGTCATAAACTGCGACAACACTGTGTATCTTGATGAAATTCATCTGTTACACAAATATATCTGCTTGACCTGTTACATATGTCATTTATGGAATTACCATAATGATTCTGGAAGTTCGTGGTTTAAAGAGTTATTCATGATTGAGTTATGATTAAATAAGATATCAATTTGTTTGATAGAGAGATTTTTCTGATATGCTATCATACTATGTTCAGGTGTGTGGCCAACCAGTATGAAAAGCAATGAAGCTACAACTCCTTCAAGGGCCAACAAAGGATCTTCTCCTGTGAAGGTGGGCATATATATCAACATAATTGTACTTGAGTTTTTCTCTTGAAGTACTAATATGCATATTATGTATATGTATATTGCTATATGTGTGTTTTTTGTGCAAATTATTGTACTTCAGAAATGTCAGACCATTTCGGTTTACATATATTCTTTATGCTGCAAATCTTCTTGATCTGTGATTTCTTGCTTTAAAGCATTATTTTTACTAAAAGAATTGCACTGTGTTCAGAATGAAAATTCAAATTATGGGCAACTATCTTACTTCAAGTCAATCGAAGCATGACTTTGGTGATTCCTTTGATATACACTGAAATATTATATAAATTTACACCTAAAAGATATAGAATGTAGACTGTCTTCTCAGCTATGTTGCATTTTGGTTAGTCAGTTGTCGATTTCCCTTAAGGAAAATGATAATTTCATAATTGTTTCTAGCAAGCATGAAAACAATTACTCAGTGTATGCCATGCTACATGCTTATTAGATCCAGTTTTCTGGTCAAAGGTTTGTTTGTATTGGTTTTTTATTATCTTTTCTTTTGTGGGAATCTTGTTTATTTGTGTTATTCTGTTGAAGTTGCAGGAGCCGCTTGCAAATCCTCCATATCCTGAATGGGCAGCTATGCAGGTCAGTACTATTATAATTTTATTTTATTGTTTTTGTTCTCCAATATAATTTAAAACCACTTCTCTTTCATTTAGGCGTATTTTGGAGCTGGAATGATGCCACCTCCATATTTTAGCACTGCAGTTGCTCCCAGTCATGCACCTCATCCATATATGTGGGGCCCCCAGGTAAACAGAATTCTTGATTATGTTGTCATGAACAATTAGCTGAGGAAAATTTCTGGTGCCCAGGCATATCATATATTAGGGTAATGTCATCAGTAAGCTGCTTGCTTCGACACAAGGCAACTTGGTGCATCTACCATTTGCTAAAAAGGAAACAGTAACTTGGAAGGTGCAGAAGTAAAAAGAAGAAATCTTGTTCCTTCAGTATCATTTGGGCCTTACTGAAATAAAATGAGAAGGGATAAGATATGGTACTGGGAAAAATAGGATAAAGGAACATAATATGGAACTCCCTCATTTTAAGTTCTACATGAAGATTCCTTCACATCTTCTAGTCTAGACATGAACATGCATCAAATGAGATCATATTCATTGAGAACGATGGTCACTAAGTACTAACAGCGAAGTGTTATATGTTTTGATTGATTTATTTTGTGGTATTTGTGGATTATTGATTGAGAAAAGTTTGCAAAACATTGTACTACCTCGAAAGGACAACATCTGTTACTCTGATGGAACAAAGCCCGAACTGTTTCAAACTTGGGTGATGAGAAAAAAATAGGCTATTAGCATTAGTCTAGAATATCTATTATCCACGGGTTCATTGGGAAGGGTGTGGATGGCCCTTGAGCGTGGCTAGATATCAAAAGGCTACAGAGGGAATATAGTATATGTAAACCTTGACAAGGACCTCAGGAATTATGACAAGGGAAATTGTGATACCCCTATGATTCTTCCTATGGAGTGGACTGTAAATTTAAACTCTATTGTCACCGATTACAATGAAAGGGCATGTATAGAATCTTGGAAAGTGAGTTTCTAGCAAGTTCTATTCTCGGAATTGTTTGCGAAGAGTGGGTACCCTGTACACTTTTAAGTTGTGCAAACAGGTTCTGATAGAAAAGAACTACGTGTCGAGAAAAAAAGAAAATAACTGCCACAGTGACAAATGATTTGGTATTTTTACAAATAACTGGGATGAATAAGTTATGTTGAGTCATGTTTGTGTTTAAATTTATGTCAATTCAGGTTTGTATTTAAAAATAATTATTTATGTCAAAAATATATCATAATTAACTTATTGAGTGTGTTATATGATATCATTTATATCAAATTTTGTGAAAAAATTATATATTTTTAATGTTTACAACTGATAGATTATCATCTAGGATACAGAAGCAGTGTAGTGGGTTAGGATAGATGAGACAACAGTTTGATAACTAAACCATGCATATATATTAGAAAAAAGAATGTGATAGTGTCTTGTTGGCATAAGTGATGGTAGGGAGCTATCTGTCCAATAGATGATTCAAATTTTGGTTATGAATATCTACAAGCTGGGGTCTATGTAATTCCATGATAATTTAGATGTATTAGACTCTTTTTAATTTAGATTAGGGTTTATATCTGCTTGGAAAATTGTTAACATGTGGAGAAATATGGGTGAGGAGTTCCTGTAGATGTTCTAAAATTTGCTTGAATGTGAAGGCTACAACGTTTGCAAATTTTTAGTTGACATATTAATAAATGCTCAATTTACAGTGTTGGTTTACTTTATGATGACTTTGTTGCATTAACTGACTGAACATTTTCAGAGTTAGTACTAGAGACATTCATTTTGGCTGATCAAGCCTATAAATGTTGCAGTCAATGTTATCGGTTGCCCTTCTGTTATATTTGATCATATATGTGAGAACATCCTGGCAAACTGACATATTTGATACCTTGCATTTATGAAGCATGCTTGGCATTACAAAACTTGCTCCTGCCACTGTCACTTGATTATACTTCTCCAATAATTTCTATCTGGTGGCTTTGGAGATTCCTGGGTATAGGAAAACTAAACATATTTATTATAGATAAACTTGTCCAGTAACTGATTTATGCAATCCGGACGATTTGCAGGGCTATGTACATTTAGCTCTCCATGAATCTTGTTTACCTTGTGGGCTGCACCAATCAAAGCTTTTCCTTTTTGCAACTTGAATAAACTTTAATTCTTCTTTATATTAGTCAGAACTCATGATTACTTTTAAGCATCACATAGATATAAATTTTATAGTCCTTGTTGGTTCTTTGATTCACTGGTTACTAGGTCAAAAGTTACATGCATGCAAGGTGGTTCTTCGGTTAACATATTCTTCATTCGATGCAGCCTCTGGTTCCTCCTTTTGGGTCACCATATGCTGCAATCTACCCGCATGGGGGAGTCTATACTCATCCCTCAGTGCCTCTTGTAAGTCAAAGATAGCCTTGTATTTGGTATCAGTATATTAGCAAACTCAGTTTTAGTGAATGAATTATACTGCATCATATGCTTTTGGCTTGAATTATTTCTAATTAGGATATTATCTTAGTCACAAAAGGTGCATGATCTAAAAATGTCAGAAAGATGCTGTTGTAGATTTAAGTGTCTTCATTGAGTCTATTGGTTTATTGTGGCAGGGTTCTCATACACATTGTCAAGGGATCTCACCATCTCCAGCAACAAGTGAAGCAGTAGTGGTGGGTATATTTGATGTGTTCTTTATTTATATTGGATTTACCACTACACCAGCAAAACCCTTTGTGCTCTGCATATTCCATGCTTTTCCAATTCACCTAAAGATCATTACTCCTTCAGATCAGTTCTCTCTCTCTCACTACCACTGCTGATGTGCAGCTGGCAACTCCTTTAAGTGTAGAAATGCCTGCAAAGTCATCAAAACATAAAGATAAAAGCCTGGTAAAAAAGCTTAAAGGGCTTGATGGTCTTGCCTTGTCTGGGGGCAATGGCATCATCGAGGACAGAGATCAGGCTGATGGGAACAGGTAATCACAGACATTCATCCAGTTCTAGAATTGTTTTTAGATTTTCTTTTGTTGCTTCTTGAAGCCGCTGATGTTTTCTTCAGATTGATATTTTGATATTGATGAATGTTTTCTATCAAATTTTATTGGTCCAGTGGGTATAACAGCACAGAAGGCTCTAGTGATGGAAGCAATGGAGATAATGCAGAAGGGGTGATGCTCTTAGCTCTTCTTATCTTGTCTCGTCAAATAATTTCTGGACATGTTCTTGGATTTTCTTCTGCTAGTTTGATTAGGAGGTTTCCCATCTCAGGGAACAAAAGACCAAAGAAGGCAAAGATCTGAAGACGGACCATCCTCAGGTTCTTCCATGCTTTTGATTGTCAGATCATTATTTATCAAAATTATGCAAGTTTGCTCGACTTTGTTTGATGTGTGCTGATGTTTTGTTCTGGTAGATCTATTCCAAACAAAATGCCGTAAGCAACCCTTTGTGTTTTCATGGATGTTTTAGCTATTGATGATCACTCTTTTTGAACTATTTATTTCCCTTCATCAATTAAGCATTAGATTTGAGATATTATCCGATATCATCCCTATATCTCATAAATTTACACAGAATTCATGCCTAAAAAGATCTTTTTGGTTTTACAGACAAAGCTAAAGTTAGCGAACGGGTCAAACCTGGTCACACTGAGGAAACAGGTACATCCTCAAAAGCAGCTGCAGGTGTTACTGGAACACCTGTTATCACAGCAAAACCAGTAGGAACTGTTCTTTCATCTGTCCCAGCACCAGGGATGGACATAAGAGTTTCCAGTGCCAACAAAGTGAAAGGCATTGGCACACCTGTCCCACTGGCAACTGGTGCTGTGGTCCCCAGCCGTAATAGAGCGACTCCTGAACTCTGGATGAAGGCATGTGCACCATCCATGTCTCTCAAGTTATTAATTCATATTTTCTAAGTTGATAATAGACTTTTTTCCACTCTTTCCTGTGAAGATTATTTGACCATGGTCCTGACCTTGTTTTTTATCATGTTTCTCATTGAGTTATTCTTTTTTCTTTTCTTTTAAACTGCCTTTCATTTTCAACACCCTCTTAGGACCACCACTAATGTGCCGTTCTCATTGTTCTTAATATTCATAATTTACTTGCAATAGTGGAATTTTCATCATTGTTCCTGCTATCATATATTAGTGTTAATTGCACAAATATTCTTTCTCAAATGTTGGTTGTAGACATATGAATGACATGGGGATTGCAGATTTATTGTTTTGGAATTCCTCTGCATTCACAATGGTGGTTTGATTACAGGCTTCTTGGTTATTAACCTTGTTTAGATGTGCCTTCTGTATAGGATGAGAGAGAACTAAAAAGGGAAAGGAGGAAACAGTCTAACAGAGAATCAGCTAGGAGGTCAAGGCTGAGGAAACAGGTACTGGCATCATGATGAGTTGAGGGTACAACCTCTGCTTGTCCTCTTGATTCTTTTTCTTCTCGTCAACCTCATTAAAATTCTGATATTTGCATTTCAGGCAGAAACCGAGGAACTTGCTTTGAAAGTTGAGAGCCTGAGTGCTGACAATACAAATCTCAGATCTGAAATTAGTCGCCTGAAGGAGAATTCAGATAAACTGAGATTGGAAAATTCTGCCCTAACGGTAGTCTCATTTTGCTAATAATTCCGGATTTGATTGTTCCAGGCTTTTCTATTGTCTGTTCTTTATTATGTGACTGATACGCACCAGCACGGAATGCGCTACAACAAAAGATGAATGCCTGATCAATGCCTTAATGCGGATCGTTATCCGATAACTTTTCAATATGGTCTAGGTATCTTTAGGTTCAATGCCGGGATCAATGCCCGATCTAGTAGAGCATGTTGGATCCACCTATCATCAAATCCCTTAATGCCGATCTTAATTCAGTAGTTTTTAGATATGGTCTGCATATCATTGGGTTCAAGGCCAGGATCAATGCCTGATACAGTAAAGCATGTTGGATCCAAATATGAGGATCCATGCGTAAAACTTCAGGTCGGATTTGATACTCTGGCACACCTAAATAGTTTATATGAAAATGCAAAAGGAAATCTTTGAACGGCAAGGGGAGACTTGACATAATTGTTTTCCCTCTGTTATACAGGATAAGCTGAAGAATGTGCAGTCAAGTCATTTTGGTAAAATGAAGAGTGTGAGAATCCCGCCGTTGGTTGCCGAGAACTTCTTATCAATGATAGAAAACCAAAACTCTGCTAGAACGGCACCACAAGAGGGTGACACCAGCGACCAGTCTGGTGGGAAGCTTCACCAGCTTCTGAACACCAGTCCACGAAGAGATGCCGTGGCAGCAAGCTGATTCTGATTTTACTAATCTTTAGTTTTGGCGGAATTTTCGGCGCAAAACTACTGCACTGCTAACCTTAACCTTATGGAAGGCTCAACTAAACTAGGTAGAATTTAAGAGACTAATCAGCTTGGAAGACATATGACTGTTTCAAGTCCAGGAGTTTTGCTGGCATGATGGTCTGTGTTTGCTGAAGAAAAGTCATTAGTACTTAATACTGTATAATCTGGTGTCTAGGTTGTATGGCCCCTGTAACTTTTTTTTTTTAATGGTCCATTCATGGTGTTGGAAATGTCTTGGAAACCCATGTTGTTGGAGTATAATAAACAAAAGAATCTACTGTATATTTAGGATGCCTGGAGACTACTGTTTCCTTCTGAACTTGCTTACCTGTGCCGGTGAGTACATCCCTTGTGGTCTGTACACATTTTGTTTCTGTGCTTATGGATGACGACGATCATACATTCCAAGGTTGATTCTGAATTTTCGGTTTTGGAGTAGCAAATCTGATAGATAGTGATAAGGTTGAAAAATTGATGTGGCAACAAGTAAATCCCTTGTGGTCTCTTCTCTCTCTCTCTCTTTTAGCTCATGCATCATTACCTGTATGCGAACATTGACTCTCAATCTTTTTGCATTCTTGGTGCAGTGAATCAGATAGTGAATCGCAATCTCTCTCGGTTCACATCTCGGAGTCGAGGTGCCACATCCTGAGATTTGCACCACCCTCGCCTCTTTAAAAGGAGGCCTGAAGTGAAGACGGGATGAATCCCAATATCATCATCAGTTAGAACACAGAAAAAGGCAGGAGTGGAGCGACGCATGGGGATGTCTTTCTGTACTCCTCTGGGCGAAACGGCCGAGCAGCGCATGCGCAGATGGCAGGTCACTGACAGCCATTACATCAAATGCAAGGTCGTATGCTTACAAACTTTTAAGTGCTTTTAAAGCGGAGAGGGAGGTCATGTGTGTCCGTCCGTCCGTCCATAGGGCGTTCGATGAATTGACTCTGCGGTCTAGTTTTTGTTGACAGGAGCTCGGGGTGTGCTCACCTGCCACCTCGGCGCTCGAGCAGATGCCCTGCGCGCTACGCTCCCTCTCGTGGGCAAGCGGCCCCCAAGGCGGAGTTAGGTGAGACCACGCCCACGTGATCTCCTGTCGCCGGTCGCTCCTACGCCGAGCCTCACCTTTCTTTTCTTGGCTTCTAATGACCATCCGCATTATTCTAGCATCACAAAGACCACGAGCCCTGCGTTTGCGGTCACCTCCCGGTGTAGCAAACCGGCGGCTCTGACGCCGAAAAGGCGAGAAAGGAGGGGGCGCAGGGGACTTACCCCCTCGTTTGAATTTTGATCCTTGTCCGCCCCCTCGAGGCTTGTCACCCGCCTTACTCGACGCGGGGCCCGCATGAAATCCGAGGTGGGCCCCTGGCAGCATCCATAGCGGTTACGGGTATCTTGTCCGGACGTGGAAGTCGGGTCGACCCGACACACGCCTTTTTTTTCTTTTAAGAAAGCAGGGACGCCCAATGGCCTCTCGACACGTTCCTCACCAGCATTTAACAGTACAGCTTTCCTCGGCGGTTCTTCCACCCTGCTGATCTTTCGGATTCCGCTCCCCTTCATCCGAATCATCGATCTTCCCCTTCCCCCGTTCCCTCTCTCTGTCTCTCGTCGGATGCTTGGCTTTGCAATGGCTTCGATCCGGAAGTGAATGCTGCACGAGAAGCTCGCGTTTGAGCTCATTAGGGAGTGGGTTGGTGGTCTGAACCGGGTTTTGGGGATCTGAGTTCGGGATGATGCCACCGGTCCCGGGTGGCGATGGCGGGTCGTCTTTCGATGGCAATGTGACAGCCGCGGGAGGGAGTTCTCGTCGAAGTACCTCCCGTTTGAGTCCTAATTTGCTTCTCGATCTCGGAAGCATTGAGATCAGTGGGAATTAGTGGTCCGGGCTCTTTTTTTAATCGCTTCCCTTTCCTCCAAAGATAAACTTGTACGAGTCTCGCATTTTTTCTCGAGATCATTTCTTTTTGAGCTTTCTCGAGACGTTATTTTTGTTGGGTTCGTCCTTTTCGAGGAAAAAACCTCAGGGGCTTCAGAGCTGCTGCTTTGAAGTTTCACTATCATGACGAAATTATTTGCTTTCTTTCACTGCTAGCTCTTTACTTTCTTTTTCGGGGTAAAAAGGAGCATTTGCATAGCTCTGAGGGACCGAGTGCTCTCTTCTTTTCTGGGCGATGTCCCTTCATCTGTGCGTATCTAGTGTTTGTTGGATAGAAGTCAAGATTTTGGAGCTGCATATTTGATCTTCTTGCCGTAAGTAAGAGCACAGAGAGTTTGGTTTAGTGCGCTCTCCCTTCGTTCTCTTTTCTTTTTTGGGTGATTGAGGACTTGCTTGGTTTGAGTCGATCCATTCTGAACAGTAATTAGAGCATAGCTACGCCACTCGATCCCAGAGCCTTCTTTCTTAGCTCTCAACCGTCCCTGATGTGTATTGAGATGTCTTTTTGTGGAGTTTGCAACATCAGGGAGGGTGGATTGGTAGATGTAAACTCTGGTCACGAGATATAGGTTTGTAAACACGGGAAAAGTGCCGGGTGCTGTTGGCATCCTCACCCGTCGGAACAGCGACTGGTGTGAGTTTGTTATCGGAGAAGTGGGTCTCTTCTCTCGTGTTCTGGGAGATTTATACTGTTCACTGTGGGTTTATTTGGCTTAAAAAGCAGTAGCAATTAGTAGTATCTGAGATTGACTCTAGCCAATCTATGTGTTACTTATAATGGGTCATTCAGCTACTGCCTGGGATCAGAACTCGGTATTGGAGGTGGTGAAGGACTGGAACGGAATTGATCAAGTGGTTCTTCGTGTGCCACGAGGAGCATCTGCTCGGGTGAGATACTATACCATTGATTCCTTTTTCTCCGTCAGTTTTACTATTTGGCCAAGATTTGTGCCGTGTTCTTTCTATGGTTGGCTGCTTATGTTGGTCATTGATCTTTGTGTCCATTTGATAAATTTTTTCTTGGTTCATTTTAATAATTCTTCTGTCAGCAATCCAGGTTAGTTTGCATGGAGGACAGGTTGTTTCATGGAAGAATGAGCGGGGTGAAGAACTCTTGTTCACTAGCAGCAAGGTAAATATATTAGAACCCTGTGGCATGCATATGTTTTAATATTTTCAGTTTTATTTGTGTTGCGACTTGCTAACTTGGTGTTAGCAGCTCAAGTGACTGGGAAGATTTATGTATTGAATGATGGAACCTAGGCTTAATGGAAGATCAATGATGACCGATAGTTTGAATTTTTTTAATGAGATTCCAAGGAATGACTACTTCTGATGCTATGATACCATATGATACATAGGATTAGGTTCTTGATAATGAGTGTTGAATATAACAGAGAGATCATAGTTATTGGAACAATAATAATCAGTCAAGACTGAAGGCTCTACTGCATGGTGAGTCCCAATTGAATGAATCTAGATTCTGTGTCTATGTTGTGTGTGTAATTCTCAGTGCATCAAATCTATCCACAGAACATTGGTATCAGAATGCCACAATTAAAATACCATTTTTATACTCAACAAGGAAGACATATGACATCTTTAGATATATCTTGATGTTGAAAAATTTGAAGTGAGTCTAAACACAATCTGTATTATATTGTGTTATCTTTAATGAACGAGGTCTTTTATCTGTAAATGACAGTTCACTGATATGCATACAGATTGGACTTCGTTAAAAATGATTGATTTTCTTTAACCTTGTTTACTTAAAATTCTCTTACATCAAACTTTACATTCACTTTAATTTTGAAGATTAATACAACAAAAGGCACGAGTTATGGTCGATAGAGATGATTTTTATTGATTCCTTTGTGTAGGCCATATTTAAGCCACCAAAGGCTATGCGTGGAGGAATTCCCATCTGCTTTCCACAGGTATTAACAGCTAAATTTCTCCATCACTATAGTCCTGCTACATATGTTTACCTATTTCCATGTCCTCTCAGTTCGGAAATTGTGGATCACTCGAGCAACATGGATTTGCAAGGAACAAAATGTGGAGCATCGATTATGATCCTCCACCTCTAAGAAACGATGATGGCAAAGAAAAGGTTTCTGTTGACCTGCTGCTTAAGCCATCTGAAGATGATTTGAAGTGCTGGCCACACTGGTATTCAATTCATCTTACCATGTTACAGATGTCATCGTCTGTAAAAATATTTGTCTGTTATTCTCTTCCTTCACCGGTTGTGATTGTTATAGTTGTTTTGGTCATCCAATTAATATTTAGCTGAACTTTTATATTTTCAGTTATGAGTTTCGCCTCAGGGTGTCTCTTGCAATGAATGGAGTTCTTACCATGATATCACGTGTTAGAAACATCAACGGGAAACCATTTAGTTTCTCGTTTGCTTACCATACATACTTGTCTGTTTCTGACATCAGGTATGAGATCATATCTTTCAATTTCTAATTCACATCAATACGTCGCACAATTTCCATTAGACTATTATAAAATGAGAACTTGATGTGGGATAATGGTGTTCCTCGTCATTTGTCTATATGCAACCAATGCTAACTTCATTTAAGTACTTTTGAACCTTTGTTTTTTTGTGCCTTTTATGATTTTCCAAAGCTTTTACTCATTTAACTCTGGTGATGCTCCATCGTTAATAAATTTCTATGGTGCAAAATTTTAGATGTTGTATGTCTTACATGAGAAACATGTATCCACAGTGAAGTGAGGATAGAAGGTCTGGAGACACTTGATTATCTAGACAATCTTTGCCAACGCAAACGATTCACAGAACAAGGAGATGCTGTAACATTTGAATCTGAGGTAACCTCTGTGTTTTGCTTATCATGGAAAACACTAATTTGGACCTCAAAATGATGGAAGATCATGGCATCATCTCTATTTTTTTACCTTATCATAAGTTGGGACCAGGTTAAATCTTGTGCAGTTTGCATACTGATACGTATAACTGTCATTCCCTGTTCTGCATTTAGGAGATGGTTCTGCATATAATAAATTTAATTCATGTTTTGGCAAATCTGGTAAAATGATGCAAGAGAGAAACTTCCATTTACATGCAGGTTATCAAGGGTAATATGTCTGAAGCTTTAAAGACCAAGTCTCCATAATTTAGTAGCTCTCCTGGAAAACAAAAAGGGGTACCTTAGGACATAAGTCTCCTGCCAATGCAGGATGTGGGAGACTCGCTTCTTAAATGTTTCACTCATCAGCTAATGATTCAAATAAGAGACTATGAGTACAGAATGTGCTTAAAGGGTAGAAAAACTTCCAATTATGACAGATTTGCTTGTGATTTATTTTCACTTGAAATATTGATTTTAGTGATAAAAAAACATCTATATGGAAAAGTATTTTGACACTTGTACATGAGCTAACATCTAAATAGTACTTAAACTTTCTACATATGAAGAAAGAATATTGGAGAAAAAATTATGGTTACATCTTGAAGCAAGTGGAATTATTCTTTAGAATAGTTATGTACAGTAATGCTTGTATTAAAAAATTTGTTGTATAAATTAAATAGGGAATTTAAGGGGTATATTAAAAATCTCTTTCTAATCCATTGGCATGTGAACTGCAAATTTTATCTGTCATCAGCAAATAAAAAAAAGAATAAACCACCACCATCACTTCTAAGTGTATTCTACATCCCCAATAGATCTTTTAACTTGTAACATTGAGTTATATAATGCTAACTTTACTGATCTGCAGGTTGATCGAATTTATCTTGGTTCGCCAAATGTAATTGCAGTTCTTGACCATGAGAAGAAGCGGACTTTTCTAATAAAAAAGAAAGGACTGCCGGATGTTGGTATGATGCTGTCTTAATAAATCCTGCTAAATCCACACATTTAGTTATATTATCGATTATGATGTGCTTGTTTTAATGTTAACTTACTAAATTATGATACTTCTTTATCTGAATAAATGCTTCAATTGAGTTTATTGTGTGTCTGCATTTACATTGACTTAGAAAGTTTCCTGCTTTGGTTCATAAGTTTTCAGAACAATGGAGAGTTGACAAGCAACTGTTAGAAGAATATTTTTGTGAAGAAAACATTTAAGTTCTGTAGCTAATTCCTACATGCGACTGGCAATTAGTTTGGTTCACCATAGGCCATCATTTCCATCCCCTTTAAAGTTGTTTTCCCACGGGCTGCTACATGTATATTTGAAAGTTAAGCTTCCCTTGAAAAATAATTCTCTGCAAAGTCCAGTGGACTTGAAATGTCATATTACAATGGAAACAATTCACTACAACGTATTCATGATGCTTCTCGTTAGAGGACATGCAAAAATAGGGAAACGTGACCTTAACATCACTGGTTAAGAGCTAAATTATTAATTTTAATATGTAGAGAAAGAATTTTACAGATTTTACTTTAAGAAAGTTTATAAAGCTTAAGTTGCACTTATAGCATGTAGTACTTCCAGTGTGCATTTGTTGAAATTATCATCTGAGATAATGATTTGTTAGAACACTGAAGCCGCATATGGTTGTTTGACATCCACTTTCATGTTTTTGCTCTTTTTCTATGCAGAAATAACTCTCACCAATACACCTAAAATATTGGAATGGATCTTTCGGTGGTATACGCTACCCGGTTAATTGAGAACTCAAAATCTCATCTGATAAATTTTAAAATTACTAGCTAGTGGTGACTGTACAATCATTTGAAAGAGTAAAAGATTGTTTAGAATGGGTATTGAAAAAGACCTGAGGGACCATTGGATGATACATGATATACTTTTCTTTGTTGTGAGAAATTTATGTCGCATGTCCTTCTAACTATGCTTCCATGCATTCATTACAGTAGTTTGGAACCCATGGGAGAAGAAATCCAAATCCATTGCGGATCTGGGAGATGAGGAGTACAAGCAGATGCTGTGCGTGGATGGTGCTGTGGTCGAGAGACCTATCACCCTAAAGCCAGGTGAAGAGTGGACAGGGCGCTTGGACATTTCGTCCATCCCTTCCACCCACTTCATTTGATCATCTCCATCACCTGGGATGCATGCGAAGGCGCACTATTTTTAAATGACAGCCTTCTGTACTGTGTTAGATCATGGATGACAGTCTATAGAAACATATGCAGAACAGCCGATTAGATTTGAGCTTATGTAGCTTAGTTGTATGCTCATGCAAACCTTTAAATTTTGGCTCTATGTAGTGTTAAATAGAACAGCAAAAGCTAACTATAACTATATATATATATATAATTCTAAATCATTAAAAAATTGTTTGGGTGAGCTTTGGAGTTCAATTTTTAGGTATTTGATATATCACCTTTGAGTGCTTTTGACTATATTTCTGAGCATGCAGGAGCTGGCATTATAATCAAATCTCTTGAAGATCACATCATTGTTGCTGGTTGTATAGTGATCAAAGCTTCATCCCCTATCCAATTTGAATGTCTTGCACAGTGGGAAGGCTTAGACTCCGGGAGCTGGTAAAGGTTGAAGACTGACACTCTCAATAGATTATTTCACACATCAAAAAAACCTCTGGTTTCACCCTTTAGATGATAAGAAACTCTTTGCTAGATCTGTAAATGCAGTTTGTGGGTCCTTCATCCCAAGATCTGCTTTTCGTTCATCCGAAGATCTGCAAATGAGGATGCCCAAGATCTGTTCATCCTAAGATCTGCAAGTGAGGATGTCCAAGATCCGCTTGTAAATGGGGTCAATCCTCCACTTCATCCCGAGATCTTCAAATGAGGATGCCCAAGATCCGCTTGTAGAAGGGGTCAACCCAGTTCATGCCAAGATCTTCAAATGAGGATGCCCAAGATCAGCAAATGAAGACACACAATATCTGCTTGTAAAAGGGGTCAATCCCGTTCTTGGGAAAATGATATCCCATTCTCTTTTACAGCAAAGCTGATTTTTTATCATCCTAAAGGCCTCCTTCTTTTTGTAAATATTATTAATTTTTTATACCTAAAGTATTGATGGGATGATAATGGATGTTTTAATTATACTTTGATATTAGTGATCGTAGTAGCAAAACTAACAAGGACAAGTATTAAACACTGTTATTTTCTAGCTTCAGCTTCCAAGTTCCTCCTCTAGGTGACAAATCAGTGAAGAGAGAATGAAAAGGATCGAGTTGGAAAGACCAGATCATGGAAGGAACATTTGTTCATGCCACTACTCATCAGCTCTTCATGAAAGGTATGTTGCATCACAGAGTAGCAAAATTAGATTATCTTGCGAGTGTTCCCTCTTAATATAAGCCATGTTCTTGTTTGGTGCACTCCTCAACATACAAAACTGAAACGATGCTCGCCGAAGGTTCCTCTCTTTCTTTCAAAGGAAGGAGAAGGGCAAAGATCTGCCCGCCATGGGGACGACGACCTTCTAATCTGAATCCGGTGAGCGGATCCACGACCTCCATCTCCTGCTCGCCTCCGGACTCCGTGCGGTTCGAGCGATAAAGGGAGACACGAAGGCGTCTTTGCAATTGCGGGAGACTCGCATCAAAAAGCTCGACTCGTTTACAACGGGGAAGCACGTGCTTTGCACGTGATCAGGACACGTGACGAGTACTGGGCCACATAAAACAACGGTGGCCATTTAAACGCAGCGGTCGCGTGCAAATCTCGCAGCGGCATTCGCTTTCCTCTTCTTCCCCGTTTCTTCGTCCGATCGCGCACGCACCAGAGAGAGAAAGGGGGGAGGGAACGAAAGAGGAAGAGTAAGCGTAGAACGCAGGTAAGGAATCCGTTATCCTTGTACGTCGACCGATCGTGTACCTTTCTGTTCTTGATCTATTTGGGTGTCCGATTGATTAGGTCATCGTTCATGGCGTCGAGGCGGATCATCAAGGAGCTGAAGGATCTGCAGAAGGATCCCCCGACCTCTTGCAGCGCAGGTCCTTGCAATCCCCATTCGGTTCCCTCTGTTGATTCATGCTCTTGTTTGCTGCTTTTTTGTGAGATCAGTTTATCTAGGGCTTAGATCTGAACCCGATTGCGCGTTTTTATGGGCGATCAAATATGGCTAGCTGGAATTCCATTATTGCGTCCGGACTTGGTCAAATTGTCTTAGGCTCCCCCGTTTCTTTTCACGTTGCTGTTGATCATGTGGATGAATCCTAGCCTGCTCGATCAGGACTCTCTAGGATTAGTATGCCTGGAAACGTTAAGATTATGATTAATGTCATGCGTCAATGATGGGGAAAATGATTAGGGTGGACGATTGCTCAGTGCTTAAGGATCATCTGATTTGCTTCTTGTGATCATATGAATGACCTTGATATAAATGAAGGCTTATGATGGAGATCTTTCATCACTGATGCTTTTTCCTGGTGGAGTTGCATATGATTGCATATTCTATTTATTTTTTTTTATCATATTTGCTGGTTGCTAAATTAGGTTATTTTCATGGAAAAGATTCAAACTTATTATGAGGAAAATTCTGTCATTAACATCCTAGAAGGAACGGCAGTTGTTAAGGTATCATAATATTGGTTGCTTTAAGCAACAAGACATTTACTAGTACACATATGGCTTGAAAGTTGAAGGCATACCTTTTTGTTTGTTTCCCGTGCAGTAAAAACAATGCAGTGAAATGTAGGCATCACTTGTTAGCACTTCGTAAAATTGGTTGATTTTATGTGAATTTATCAAGCGTCAGCATCGTATGTTTGTTCTAAACCTGGATTAATTTGTGTACGAAATTTAAAGTCCTGTCTCATGTTGTTAGTTTGAATAACTTATCCTACAGGCCCGGTCGGTGAAGATATGTTCCATTGGCAAGCAACTATAATGGGTCCACCAGACAGTCCATATGCAGGGGGAGTTTTTCTCGTCACCATCCACTTCCCTCCAGATTATCCATTTAAGCCACCTAAGGTATTCACAAAAAACAAAGAAAACAAGAAACATTGCAGTTGTATTTTATTCTTTGTTTTAGATACAATGAATTTTTGTTTTGTCCTTTACTTCACTAAAATTATATTTGGAATATATCTGATTGTAGAATTAGTTAAGAGGTGAGAAAGAACATGGAGGGACCATGTGTGATATTTAGTTTTACTATTGTGAGAATGTGGGAAAATTAAATGACAAGTCTTTTTCTGAAAAACTAGAAGTTCTCCACTTTCTTCATAATTGTGTCCTGCTGATTCTTATTTGTATGTTGATTTTTCCATGTGTATCCCTTAGCATAATTTTATTCTTATGTATAAACTCTTGCACCTGTGCCCTGTGCACATGTTCCTTGTTCAACTCTCCATTCCGAAGTATCAAGCTTTTCATGTTCCAAGCAGAGGACAATCATATTTCTATTTTTTTTCTTAAAATTCTTATAGATTCCTTATTAGTTTAACTTGAATGTCATGCAAGGGGCATTTGGATCTAACTTTTGGCAGAGATAAATAATTTACAGACTATTAGCTGTATGTTAAATCATGAAAGGAAGTTGTAAGCATGGGCATATATGCAAATACGATGTTGAAACAAAGCCATAATTGAGCTCATGCGTTGTGTAGTTGATTATGATAAGTTGTTGATCCAAGCTTTGAGAAGCTAGATCATGCTCAAGCTTCTGTTTGGATGCTACCATATGGCTCAATCCAAACTTGCATTGGTCATAATCTGAGCCAAACCTAAAGCTTGAACTCTGCTGAATTATATAAGTCACATTCTGGCTGTTAATTTTGTCTTGTAACCTATGTTTCATTTAGGAGACAACATATATAGTCATACTTTCATAATTTTAATTAGTCATATTATTGGATGCTACCCAGATATCAGCTTTAAGTTAGAGACAACATTGTAGCAATTGCATTTCTGATTGAAAGAAATATATTTTTTTAATATAAACATTGAAAATCATCTGATTGTTTGTTTAAATAGTTTGGCTTGTTTAATAGACTAAGTTTTTAATCATGAGATGTAAAGGCACTTCTGTACGTCATATTGGAGCATAAGTTTACAAACTGAGTCACCCACTTATGTTTATGTAATAGTGTTTAGGCACTTTGGGGTGTAGGCTTAACTGCAAGATTAATGTCGGCTGGCAATAGACGTGCTATCCCCACTTATTGTGTCACAAGCGGACAAACTCCTTTGGTTGCTCTAGACAAAACTCACGTTGGAGCTCTAGATTATATGGATTCCGTATTGTCTTAATAGCAACAACGGCAATCTTGGGCGCCATAGTTTAATTGCTGGGTCAATGACATCAAACCTTTACCTTCAAGCTTATTTGCTGGAAGCTCAATTATGACCTGTATGGATGAAAAGTTGGTAACTCTGTGTCTTTTATTCCTAAAGGCAACAACACTAAGTGGAAATTATCAAACATTTGCAGGCCGTGGTCCTGCTATTAATTTGCTCATGAAAAATGATACTAAGGATCAAATGATACTAAGAAACTGTAGGCCTCTCCATAGGACCATAAGAACTGGCTTGTCTTGACATTGGTTGTTTTTTATGCATGCCATCAAAGCCTATAAGATGATGATTTTATGGTAAGAACATTGAGGATTTGAATGGATAAAAGATAATTGTTATCAAATATCAATCGTCCATATGTGATGCTTAAGAAGGTTTGACTAAAATAGTAAAATATATGCCTGAAGTGAATTGCTAATAACTTAGACTTAAGTATTTTAACTACATTTGCACTATTCGGTTATTGGAGCAGTAGTTTACTCTTCTTATTAGCTTCTGCACTAGGCTCATGTCAAATATGGTTTATTTCAATTGAGAGTGACTAGTCTCGTGCAAAGATCCAGAACACTAGTAAAGCACTGAAATAACCGGTAGAGACAAATACTCAGAACGCTGTTTATGGTATCTTTCGAAGTCATGAAAATGGAAGATGAAGAAAAATCATAAAAGAAGTTGTCACAGCTTATTATTACATGCAAAATTTGACTTCCCCTTCTACCATTTGAGCAACAACCATCATTCAGGGCTTCTGCTGGGTCAATCTGCAAGTAGGACCATCTTGAGTAGCTTCATTTCGGAGATATTACCTATTGTGAAGAGTTATTTCCTCTTGCTTTCCTCAGATTGTAATGCTCATGTGCTGTAAATTTGTGTATGAAGATTTTTCCTCCTAAGTCATAATGTTTGTGCGCTGTAAATTTCTGAAAATTACTTACCTGATATTTTATCTGCCCTTTCTGAACATGGTTGTTTAGAATTAAGGTCTTACTGAAAATGATGGAAGTTGTGGCATTTGGGTTTAATGGAACGTTAAGAACTAGGTAACCTGTTTGCTCATTTTTCCCAATGAGAAAGATAGTTTTAAGCTTATAGGTAGTGTAAGATACGCTGATTGTTCAAAATATTTGGTTTAAACTTTGGAGGTAGAAATAGGTTCAACTTCATCCAATTATGTCAATGTAAATTATTTTAGAAGTCTGATTTTTAGTCTGAAGAAAAGAAATGAAGAACAAGGTCAAAAGAAGTAAACCACTGCTATAATTTTTTATGCTTATTTTCCTTTCTAATTTTTGTTGGATAAATCGTGATTCTTCTTTCATGAAGAATAAAAGACATGGTGGATCAGTTTATCTTTTGTGGAGTCTTCTTCTCACTTCTATATATGCAGAATATGTGTTTCACTTGTACATCAATACTCCAAATCCAATTGCCTACTTCATAAATTGATAAGCATTAGATGTTAGATTCTATGATTTGCCAATTTATGAAGTGTGTGACTTCTGCAGGTTGCTTTCAGGACAAAGGTTTTTCATCCAAACATTAATAGCAATGGAAGCATTTGCTTGGACATCTTAAAGGAGCAATGGAGTCCCGCATTAACTATTTCCAAGGTTACTCTTCTTTTCCTTGTATTGATCATAGCAGTTGAGTCCTCTTTGTTTATGTAATATGCCTCTATACTGACTAGAATTGTGATACTAGGGTCAGATAACTTGAACAGTTCTATTTGATGGTTATCTTTGCTATACTCACAAGCCATGTCTTGCCCTGATCATTCTTGTCAAAAGGGCATGCTTGATCCGAAACTAATAAACATATTTTGGTCGGTTGAAATTATTTATCATATAGAAAGGAATATCCCAGATTGGTCAGCACTCTGCTTCCAGCTATTCTTACTAATGCCTGAGTGCCTCTTTGTTGATTAGGTGACTGCTGCATCGAGTAGATACCATATCCTCATGAAATTTTTTGACTTCTTTATACCAAAAAATTATAGTAGCTTCTCCAGTATTCTCATGTTTGTACCTATGTCTTTTGTCTCGAGTGAATGGGATTACGGAAACCTTTTTTTCTTGTGCCCTTACAGGTGCTGCTGTCTATCTGCTCCCTCTTAACTGATCCAAACCCTGACGATCCGTTGGTCCCAGAGATCGCCCATATGTACAAGACAGATAGGACCAAATATGAGACTACGGCAAGGAGCTGGACTCAGCGGTATGCTATGGGCTAAAAACTACGGCTGGAGGGAAGAGCGTTGGAGGCTTTTCACTTGTTTGTGGCTGTGTTACCTATCCGTTTGTAAGACTTGATAATTTGTATGATGGAAGTAAACTACATCTGTCTCGTTTAGACAACTAAAAGACCAGCAAGGAAAGCCTCAACAATCTCGTCCGAGAACATTGTTGTCTTGATTGTTCTTCGTAATTTATATTCGAATCTTAGCAACACTCGTATCCCGTATGTTTATCGAATTTTCACTCACCATGTTATAACTGTGAATAGTGCCGTAGGAACATATACAAAGCTTGTAGGGTGCGATCGACTTGCTGTGGTCTTTCTTGCTTGTCTATTGTATCGGTGGTTATTACCGAGAACGTGAGATTAATGCTGACGCCGACTCACTCGACCTCCAAGATTATACCGTGGTCTGGTGATCGATTCCTCCCCCCAGTCGAGTCATCCTGTTCTGTGGCTCGATCCAGTAATACTTAAAAGGTTTCATACACCACTCACACTTTCTTTTTCTTCTCCTTTTCAGATTGCAGGCAACAATCCCAACAGTCGGTGTCTGCCAAAGGTCAAGACCACAACACTGGAGTCATCTTCTTCCTTTTATTTTTGTTCATCGAGAGAGCAGACACACAACGGTGGAGTCGTTACCACGACTTGTCACCGCCCCTCGGCTTTGAGCTCTCCTCAGCGGAAACCAAGGCGAGCGGGGCGCCACTCATGTCTTGTCGTTACCTCCCCGCCGCACTGTAGCTGCCGTAGCTTTAAAGGACCTCTGCTTGTTCGCCCCATGAAACCCAGTGCTTTGTTTTATCTAGTTTAGCCGAACATATGCACCTTCTTCTCTCTTTAAATCTAATTTATTTCCTTGCCGTACTTCAAACCCCTACTTTCATTTGTTTATCCGTCACCAACGTGTTCTTGGCTTCTCAGGTTCATTCCGGAGGATGAACCCAGTGCGATGGACCGAGCTCAATCCACGCCGATTCCACGCCTCTTCTCAGGTATGCCGGTCTCTTTTGTCGACCCTTTTTATCTTAAATAAGCGTACATCGATGGTGTTACTCGAGTCGTCACACAAAATAATTACATGGCACGGTCAGTGCGGCCAACCCCAACGATTTGACCACAATTCTTTAGCTCCGGCGGTGAGCGAGCGTCGCAGGCCCCGGTCGGCTCCATCACGTGACCGCTCCGCTCCACCTTCCCATTGGTCCTAAGAGAAGGGTCCCGCAATAAACAGATTTCGGTCCGACTTTTCTGGCGAGTCGTAGATCGCCACATCATCATGTTTCGAACACGCTACGGCTCAGAGTTCGAGGCTTGAGCTGTTGTTTAATGCAGAGTGGCAGCGCTTTTGTTGCGCACAGGCCAATTTTGTATATGAAGGAGCGTGCGTTTCGAGTTGGACTGCTGGAAGACACTGTCAACAAACAATCTTCTCCCCCACAGACAGCATCACACCGAGCTCTCATCAACCTCTCCTCTCTCCGTCCCTCGAAACCGCCTCATCTCGTTGTATGTTTCTGTTCTCCTGGGGATATCAGTAGCAGAGGATTATAAAACAACGAACTCTGTGCTGACTGCAACTCTCCTCCTCCTCCTTCCTTCCTTCCTTTTCCTCTGCTGTTGCTTCTTGTGGTACTACGGCGAAGGATACAACCGCTGCGTACTCCTCTTCTTCGCCCCTTCCTGCTTTCCTCGAAAGTTCGCACCTTTTCTCTTTTCGTCCTCCTCTTCCTGCCTCTTCCCATCTGTTACTCGAAGATTCTCTACTCTTCTATCTACCAGTCGGCCGTACTCGCCTGGGTTTATCTTTGATCACTGTTGTGGTTGCGTGCTTCTCCTTTATCCTTGGCTCTTTATTCCCCTGAAAAATCTCAGTGGAATCCCTCCTTTAACCCCCCCCTTGTTTTCTGCTCTGTGTCCTCAAAAGATCTCATCTTGCGCTGCTGCTGGGTTGGGTTTATCCTGCGCGGTGGAAAGGAGCAGAGGCTTGGTGAGGACGTCTTCAAGCTTCCTCCTCTACGTCGCCTCTGGTGGAGACGCCCGTCGGCCGAACCCGACCATGAAGAAAGCTCGAACCTTGCGCATCTTCTGGACCGACCCTGAGGCGACCGACTCATCCGGCGATGACGAGGAATGCGGGGTCTCCGGGCGCCGCGTCGGGCGGCTGGTGAGGGAGATTGGGCTCGATCCCTGCCCCGCCGTCGTTGACAAGCCGAGGAGGGCGCGGAAGAAGGCGCCGGCTGGAGGTGGCAAGGTGGCATCGCAGACCGGAAGCACCAAGTTCCGCGGCGTCCGGCGGCGGCCGTGGGGGAAGTACGCGGCGGAGATCCGCGACCCGTGGCGCGGCGTCCGCGTGTGGCTCGGCACCTTCGACACCGCCGAGGAGGCCGCCATGGTCTACGACTGCGCCGCTCTTCAGCTCCGCGGCCCCGGCGCCACCACCAACTTCTCCTCTTCCTCCTCCTCCTCCACCACCCCCGCTCCGCCCCAGGTGGCGGAGGAGGCGTCCGACCCCACCACAGTCTCCGCCGGCTACGACTCCGGAGACGACTCCCAAAGCCGGACCTCCCCGACATCCGTACTCCGGGGCTTCTCCTCGTACTCCGCCGTACAAGGCCCAGCAACGGAGGAGACTAAGAAAGGAGCTGATGTCTTCAACCCGGCGGTCTTCCTACCGGAGATGACGGTGGAGGAGTTCTCACCGTTCGAGGACATGCCGTTATTCAACGACTCGTCGTGTTTCGAGACGTGGGAGCCGAGGATTCCCGAGGCGACGACGGCACGGGTGGGATTCTCCGCGGCGGCGGACCCGTCCACCACGGCATGGGATTCGGGCTTCGGCTCAGCCACGTGGCACGAGGACGACTACTTTCACGAGATCGGCGATCTCTTCCCGCTGGAGCCGCTCCCCGCCATATTCTAAGTCAAAATCTTCCAACTCGCCGATTTTTGGCAACCAATCAAAAGTTATCGCCGCCATTAATCTCTCCTGCGTCGTCTGCTCTCGAGTTGCTTCTTCCGTATGTTCCAAATCTTCTGCGTCATCTAATGAACACTAAACATCGAACAAAGTCGTCAAGTTTGGACATTTGATTTCTTCTTCTTCTTCTTCTTCTTCCTGTGACGAGAGTTCTCCTTCCATCTAATGAAGGAACAAAGCAGCAGCAGATGGATCGAGCCAGTAATGGGGGAGCAGAGAGAATGCGTGACTTCCTTTTCAGCTGCATCACTTTATGTGCGTGGCTCTAATAAAGCAGGCATCGCACGTCTGCCAACGAAAACACATAGAAAAGCACCAAGTATTACTTTGATGTCTTGGTGGTGATCATACGAAGCACAAGACTAATTATATATTATCTTATATAATTAATTATTTTTTATATTTCGATCATAAATATTTAATCCCTTTTTTTTTGATAAAATCTTTTTTTTCTTAATATTTAACACTGTAAAATTATCTTTTAAATCCTATATAGAATCTTAATATTTAATCTCTTTATAGAATAATGTTTTTTACCCTTCCCTAAAGGTGTTTTGTGCTTTTTCTATATATATATATATATATATATATATATATATATATATATATATATATATATA